TGATATTATCATCTTCACCATGACAAAGACACAGGATATGAACAATCCATACACTATACAGAGCGTGTTCGGTGACACTGCATTAATTTACAGTTAAACTAATGGAATCGAGGTCCTCATTGCTTCGTTTTAATGGGCAAATTTAATTGATTAAGCTTCGGGTTTTTTATCAAACATGTTATGGTTGGAGAGGAAGGCCTTCTGCGAGATGATCAACAAACTGTATACATACTGTATTTAAGCTTGATTATAATTGATATTTTGGAATCCAACCTGTAGATTGCAATGAATAAATAAATAAATAAATGAATAAATTAACTAAACTGTGCGTACAATTTACGTGTAACAGTATACTGTATAATAAAATTGTTCATTGAAGGTTTGGTTTACAACGTTACATATTAAAATAAATAATCTTCAGCACAAGATATATTTAATTGAAATGTATCAGAGATGTACACATCTACGGTACATACACATTTATGCCCCCACATGTTAACTTCATATTTTTGTGAACAGATCCAATTTGCATTTTGAGTATTTCTGCTTTAAATACAATTTCATGTACATGTAAGCTTGTAAAATGAAATGCACAAATGCCCACATTGCCCAAATGATTACGATATTCATAATCATATGTTTATTACATACCTGTACATGCGTAATGTACATGTACACAAGTTTTAATAAATAGTTGTGAGTTAATATTATGTTAAAGCTAACACCCCCTCTACATGTACAGGTAAATGTACATTTTTATGCCAAGCACATCTCTCTTAAAAAAAAGAGTGAATTTTCACTCTATTTTCACTTTCTTGGGAGTGACGTCCGTGATCACTTGTTTAGGAGTGAAAATCGATTGATTTTACAGTGCTCTCTAAGAAGAAAAGAGTGAATGTTCACTCTATTTTCACTACATTTTCACTCTCCAGAGGAGTGACGTCCGTGATCACTCGATTTGTTTTAGAGAGTACATGTAGGTCCTACATATTAAAATGTTCTTCTCTACTCTGTACCATGTCTTCAAGTTCAACACACATATTCCTTTATTTAGCCTTCTTGGTATTTTATGATTTATCACATGTAAGGCATCACATATCAAAGCTTGCCATTTCCCCTAGCAAAGGAAACGACCCAATTTTCTGATTAGGTTCTCACATTGACTTCCCCTCAAGACCTCCTCTAGACCTCCCCAAGACCCTCACAGTTAACCCATGTCATCCTCTCTCGTCACATTTCTTTTCTTAAAGAGAAGGTTGAGTTCTGGGAAGAGGTGAAAAATAATTTGTGAGCGTTTTCATTCTTATTATGCAAGGATGGAAGAACATCAGATAAGACATGTTCCCTGAAAAGCATGGCTCTTCAAATGCCTTCATATTCTAAATATGTCATGTAACATTGTAAAACTCCGGGGTAGGATTTTTATGCCACATGTTCGTGTAGTCCCATATACATCTTTCTGTGTTCGGTGTTTGTAACTTTACCAAGACTTGGCCAAATTTCTTATCATTTTGATGATTCCAGAACCTTGCAATACACACAAATTCTTATATGCTAGATGATCATCCTTTTCTGGTCGATTCCACACCGTTTCTTAACTCAATTTCATCTTTAAGTTGCTCTTAAAGTTTCTTTCAGCTAATTCAGGGAATAAATTATATAGGGGATATTATTTTGTTTCTTAAAAGTGGCTTTATACATGGTTTTTTGGGGGCTTCAATGTTACACCATACCCTGGATTTTGATTTTTTGAATAACTTTTGTGATTAAAGGCATTGTTTAACAATGTTTCAAGTTTTACAAATATGAGATGCATGGCCCTATACATGTACGTGTTATCAATGTCTGTGATATGGTGTAACATTGAAGCCCCAAAAAAACTGCGCTTCAAAATGATAAAAAAGTGCCTGAAAAAAGTAAAAATCTTTGAATGGCTGGTTTTACCCTCCTCGTTTTCCCCAATAGACTGTAGTGTTTTGAAAACCGTTAGGAAAACGCAACATTTCATTTTGATTTCCATTCATAGATATCTTGATAATGAGACAGGCGATCAGCTTGTAAAAGTCATGGGGTTCCTGACTGACCTAAAGGTTTATCATTATGATCATTGCAGCATGAGCTAAATCCAGGATTTTGTTTTTCAGAATCAGAGACAAAAATACCTTCTTGCAGCCAATCCAGGAAACAAATTATAAAAGGGTTAATTTTTTGTTCCTTAAAAGTGGCTTTACATGAATGTACAGTACCCTGGATTTTTACCGGTATTTTTTAACATAATTTTTTTGATTAGTTGTAAATCTGGAAAGAGCACCAGGTAAACATGAACAGACAAGATAGTTGTTTCGAATAGCTATGAGGGAAATGCCAATTAAATGTTGCCAATTTGTTGCCAATTTGAGAATTTTAATATATATTCTTTTTGATAGTTCTTGGCATTATCAAAAGCTATATTAAAACACAACACAAATTTAGATGGTTTTTGTGGAAATTATACCGGTAGGCCTACTAATTCTACTCTTGAAGGTAGTAGGCCTTTAGCCCTTATAAATTTGTTAGGGGCTATGAACCATAGATTATCAAGCCAGACAAAATAAGCTGTACAATGTACATATCATGTTAATACATCATTATGATTGTTTCCTATAGAAGTAGAAAGCAGAGATTCGTTGAAGAAAATCATGTGTACATGTACAGGTATGTTCAGTGCACACATCTCAAAACTGTAGAAACACAACAGGTTTTTTACTGGAAATCGGTAGACATGTGTTGACTTGTGATGACTACAGTCTCCCCCAGATCTATATGCAGTCATAGTTCACCCCTCTCTCGTCCTTGCGCCCCTGAATTAATTTGGCTCAATCCGATACCGAGTGAACTAGAAAATAATTGTAGTCCTGTTGAAATACATGTAGATCCTTGCCATAGACGGTATTGATTTTCATCGTCTTTTTTTCAGCACGTCTGCGTCAAAGCCGACTTTAATTATGCCTCAGCTCATGCCTGGCTAAAGAGAAAGAAGTTTAATCATGACCAGGCTTGCTTTGAAGATAGATACAGGTGTATAGCCAGTTCAGACTACCGGTATAAGAAATATTGTACATATGAAACTGGTATAAAGAAACATTGTCTTGACAAGGTCAGTTCACATGACAGCCGGCCAATCATTGGTGCGCTGTCATGTTGAGCCTTGCCCAGTTATACAATTTTTGTCCAGACTAGAACGAGATGCTGATTCTTTATTGAGTTTTTGTTTGAAACGATGCCTAAACAGGTGTTTCATAAATACAATCTTTTGTTTTAAATATATGCGACGTTTCTTTATAAATACAACATTCAGACTACAAGTTTTACTTACTGCTACAGTATATGATAGATTGCTGTAGCCTGAACACAGGTATACCGTAATCTTGATTTTTACAGCTCTAGACAATGCAAATGCTCAGGAATGCGTACTTAATTTTCTTATATGGCACTTTATTTTACATATACACTTGTACTTGTAAATATTGTTTGGTAGCTTAGAATTATCAGGAAATTCGCTCATTTAACCCCTTCACTCTTTTAAATATTGTAACCTTATTTCTGCCTTGGCATATTGACTTCATTTATCTCTAATTTTTGTAATAACTTGATGATGCCATGTGAACCAAGCTACACTGTATAGGAAATGCGCTACATGCAGATCTATTATTTGTATTAAACAAATCAGAACTCTGCTTGAGATACTTCTGTAGTTAAACCGAGTGAAAATAAAGGGCTTGCAATATCTGCTGAAAACTCATTAAACATTCAATTGTTCCTGGGTAACAACACACACCTGTCCTACATGTAGGCTCTCAGTATTTTCATTGAATATTGATGAAATATATATTCAAGCGTTACGGTGGTAACAACATGATCAACGTGATGTATACCGGTCGTCAGTTTTATAATTGAAGGTGACAAAAACTCTTACATGGAATACTTGTTTGCAGATAGTCAATTCAAATGTACATGTACAATCAAACCTGCTATTTCAATCATTCTTATGAGCTCAGAAAGTAGACATTTTTAGAAACATATTTTCATATAATTTATTAAGTAATAGTACCGGTAATCTCGAAAATCATTTATGTTGAAAATAACGAATATGTATCATTTGATAATATGTGGAAAAACATACTGTATGTAGTGTTGCTTAAAAAAAAAAAAAAAAAATCTTGTATTTAATCTGCTATATTTGTTGATTCTATTAGTTATATTTATTATTATATTATATTATTCATTATATTATTCATATATGTTTTGTAAAGTCGAAAGCAATATTGAATAAAGTTGATATTAAAGAAGAAAAAAAAAGTCTCGAAAATCACATTTAATACTTTTCAGTTTTTAAATATTTGATTCAGAATCCACTTCCATCTGCAACTTTTGTTTGTTTTGGTGATATGAAGTTCACAAAACAGTCTTCTTTAGATTAACTACTGTATATAATCAGCTATTCAAGAATGAAATGTTCAATGTTATGATGGAGGTTAAAGCTAAACTTTAGTACTGGTAATGCGATTGCATTGTGAAAGAAAAGGTGTGGAAAGGATCAGAAAAAGTTGATCATGTAGAATGTAAGTATTGGTGTGCACTGCAAGGTTCTAGAGTCATCAAAATCATAATAAATTTGACCGAGTTTTGGTAAAGTAACACGCACCGTACACAGAAAGCTATATATGGGACAACACGCATGTTGTCGGGGCTGGTACTACCTTGATTTCCTTGTCTTTCTATGCTCATTACTCAGCCAGTATACATTTTCTTCCAAAATTGTTTGGCACATGACATTTATTTGTAATCTTGAACATTCGGTGTAAGTTTCGTTTGATTCTGTGAGAATTCATTTTCTTTTTTTTACCAGTACTGGAGTTTCTCTTTAATGTAGCTCTTTCATTGTTTGAAAACTATAATGTGTCCTTTTTTCTTTCTTTCTCCCTCTATCTCTCTCTTTCTCTCTCTCACTATATACACAGGTTTTGATTTGAACAGACCTTCAGATGACCTTGTTCAGTACAGCTTTGAGACGGACGAATGGACGCAGATCACACCCAACGGCAGCGTCAAACCGGTAGGTGACTTCTTCAAGTATTTAGGCCTGTCTTCTTGAGCTTGAGTTTGCCAAATAACCGCTATTTTCAGACTTTGGATATTATCCCGAAGCTCGAAATTGCGTCTTCACCAGACCGTGTCGGTCATCACAAACTAGCTTTGAAAGGGGCTTAAGGGGTCTTGGAAACAAGACCAAGATTTCTTGGATATATTCTTGACCAAATATCCCGCTAATTGCAACTGCAGGCTTATGAAGACGCAAATTAACTGCGATTAAATTAAATTTGCGATTGGGATAGTTACATGTAAAATAGCGGGTTATCTGGCAAGCTCGAGCTGATGAAGATAGGCCTATTGAAACATTCTGTAAAACCTGAAACCTTGGTGTCCATGAAATGTTTGCATATTTTGCCAAATGTGTTTTGCAATTGTTTCAGTTTTCAGATTTTGTAAGTGATTCAGATTCCCGTTGCAATTCAACATTTGAATCACAACTGACACGATATTTGTATTTTGCGATTCTGGAATATGACAAAAATAGATGATATTTGCTTGCATTGAAAATGCGGCTATTTTCATAACCTGCATGTTTGTGATTCTGCTAACAAAGGGGCGTAAATAGCCTTGAAGAAACAACAAATATTTAATAATGACAAGAGTGATTGGTGTGTACCTGCAAAATATATCTGAAAATAAAAACAAGATATAATGTTACAGGGGTCATGGGTAAAGGGTACTTTAAATAGTCTGCAAGGCTGGACTCTGTTTATCACTGAAACAAAAGTCCAAAAAGCCTTGAGCCCAACCTATATGTAGCCAAAGTTGAGAAGGTATGATGGCTCAGTGGTAGAGCAGCGGTCTCATAACTGGGAGGTCCTGGGTTCAAAGCCAGGTTGAAGCACCAGTGCCCTTTGGTAGGGCATTAATCCTCATTACCAAGTCCATATGAGAGGACTTAAGCCATCGATCTTTCCCCTTTAACATCATAAAACCCTTGTAGGCCTGACATGTACATGAATGCACAGGTGCATGTCTTGATCGTTTGAACTAGTGCAAGTTAACGATTAAAAATAAAGGTGCCGTCTATCGAGAATTTCTATTCCATGGTGCACAAGGGAAAAAAGAGGTGTAATATACAAGTTTCTAATTGAGTGACATGTGTCAAACAGCGTGTTTCCACAGAAAACATTGACACGGTATTATCCGTGTCATACCGTGTCATAATAATAATAATAATAATAATAGCCTACCGTGTCATACGGTGTCATACCGTGTCAGTTTTCCTGTGGAAACACAAGCGTGTCGGGTCGAGTCGACCGAGATGCAGATTATCAGATCCACCTCTGGGAGGTGGATCTTGACGTGTCGATCCCAATGAACTCCCTGTAAAATCTCTGTGGAAACACAGCGACGAACCGTGTCTGGCGGAGCATCAGAGCGCGCGAAGCCCCAATCACCACTGCAGCGTGATTGGTTGAAAAATACTCTGAAATGCACGTATACAATAATATGTTTATATACGCGCTGTACGTAACAATGAAAAATGTATGTCACGATAGAATAGCGTGGAATCTTGTGTAGATCTGAATTCACGATCGAGGTCAAAGGTTGAATCTTGACTTCCGATTGACACGGCATTTGCCTGACTTGGAACACGGAATCGGGGCGATTCGGAATGCTGCGCTCTGTGGAAACAGATTGGTTTAATACCGTGTCGCGGCGACACGGTATTTCAATCCGTGTTCCACTTTTTTTCTGTGGAAACACGCTGAAACATTGCTAAAGAAGATGAAGTGAAATGTAAGATGTTGTAGCTCTTAACTCCAGAGGTAATATGAACTTTTTCCTTTTTATTCTGAATTAACCAGTGCATTCATGTATCCTTCAATTCATTCTCCCCTTCCATCCAACAGAGTGGTCGGTATCGGCACACCATGGAGCTCTACGAGAACCACCTCTTAGTCTTCGGAGGGGTCCTAGTCAACGGGTCCTGGTCTAACGAGCTCTGGTCCTTTGACCTGGCCACCCTCAGCTGGGAGCTCCTACCATCCGGTACCGAGTCTGTTCCTCCAGGCCTGGCACACCATTCCTCCTGTATAGTGGAGTATTCCTATCTTGTGATCATAGGAGGTGAACATTCTATACTTCTCCTTTAATATTTTAAACATATCATTCATGAGTTACAAGGTAATGTCTCAGATGGCTCCATAATCTTTACCATAACAATGTTAGTTTGTATACAGGTTACTAGTCCAGGGGGGTGTTTCACAAAGACTAAGATCGGCTTTCAGTTGGACTTACTGTAAATATGGCTGACCATTCATGCCACTACTTTCTCTCACCATTTACTGGCATTGGTCTCTCAAGGGATGTACAAATCATGGTCATATATTTACAGAATTCACATTTTTTGCTAGTTCATTATTGAAGGAAAACATATTTCCTAAAGATCACAATGGTGAGAGCAACCAGTAGCATCAACTGCTTGCTGTAGTTAAGTCCATCTTAAAGTTGATCTTAGTCTTTGTGAAACACTCCCTGGGGCCCTGTCTTATAAACAATTGCAATTAAACGCAACTTACTTGCTTTTGATATCATTTGCAAGTATGTACATAAGAGATAGGAGACTGCAAACTTGTGATGGATTAAAGGACTTGCGATTGATTCGGATCAATCTTAGCTCTTTATAGGACGGGCCTACATGTAGAAAACTTGATTATATTTAACTCACAATTCACTACTTGAACTACTTTTAAAGCTTATCTGCCGTAGTTTACAGGAGGAATTAGACCGCTCTGCAAGGTCACTGGACAGGTGGTTATCTCATCAACTCAGCTCTCACTTAACATAAGAAAAAGAGGATCATGGGGGACCAATGGTCACCGATTAGGCATTGTTTGTTATATAGAGGGCGCAAGTAGCTACCAGTAGTGCAGTGGGCCTTTAACTAGCGTAAAAGTGCTTAACTTCCTTGTTTTTAGTTTCCTTCTACTTTTATTGCTCTATAAATATGCGCCATAAGTTTTCATTGCTTTGTGTTTCACAGGGTACATTTTCCTAGCTCCAAGCGACAAAGAATTTTATGGGAGGTTTATGCTAGATTATAAATCATATGCTGGAAACAATGCTATCTTAAATTTTTATAGGGTATCATTGATTAATTTGGTTTCAAACACCAATGGATATACAATCAGGTACATGGACATACACTTATTGTACTATCCATTGTAACACAGAGATAAGACGCATGCAGCTATTTTTTCATCTCCACTTGCCATTCAGTCGGGAATAAAAAAGGAAAAAGAAAAAAGGAAAACTAAAAGGAAAAACAAAACAAAAAGGAAAAAAGAAGAAGAAAACGAAGGTATCTTTCTGCAGCATGTGTGAACAAGCTGTTATGTTCAGAACTCCAAAGTATTTCATACTAAAGGTACATGTAGTCTACATGAATGAGACATTGAATGACCAAATACCATGGATTTGCCAATGATTTTCCTGTACCATAGCTGCCAACCAATGGGCAATTCCACAGTAACGGAAGGACACTCAGACAAGATTTTTGAACTTCAGGTTCATACTAAAAGAACTGTTTTATTAGTATAAGATGTGAAACAGTACAGATATAATACCTATATAAGTGCCTTTAATTCTCCCCAAAAAAATTGTCATTATAGTTAAGTAGTTTAAGAATGTGCATATTAATTATCTCGGTAACGGAAGGACATAAAAATGGACATGGTTTTTCCAGTTAATTAGTGTTTATCCAAACTTTGTGAAGTTGATGAAGCTTTCCACTTGACTGAAACACATTTTGTTCCCCATAGTTTAATACATACTAATAAAACATTTCTTTTAGTATGAACCTGAAGTTCAAAAATCTTGTCTGAGTGTCCTTCCGTTACCGTGGAATTGCCCCAATCCCATTTTGGAGGAATGGTTCCTATGTACACCTGTATGAGTCCCGCCGCGGCACTAATGTCCTTTGTCAAGACATTGATCTACATTTGCCACACTCAACCCAGGTGATGTAAATGGGTACCTGGCAGGAATTAATTCCTTGAAATGCTGGAGCGCTGTATAAAACGGATGCTAGGCTAAAGCCGGGTAATAATAAATGTGCATCGGAATAGAATCTAGATAGATGGCGCTATAGTAATGCCTATTATTATTATTATTATTATTATTATTATGACCCTCAAGTTCAAACCAATGTTACAAACCCCAGATTGCTCTCCTTTTATGAAAACATCTATGTAATAATTATACAAAATAGAGTGTTTGCCTAGTTTTTCCTATACTGTATGGCCTTCAAGCTCAAACCAATGTTATGAACCCTTGATTCTCCTCTTTTTATGAAAAAATTGTTTAAAAAGTGTACAGAATATATTTTTGCAGTGCAATATTGTCAGATATGCTATACTCACTGTGACCATGCTATTCTATTTCCAGGTGCGAGTCAAGAACAGACCTTCCTGGGTTCCATCTACAAGTATGATCTTCAGTTGCTTCAAGGCTGGGAAGAGATAACTCCAAGAGGGGGGCTGGAAAGAGAAGTTCGGCTGAGGGACCACACCAGCGTCTATCACTACGATACAAAGTCTATCCTCGTGTTTGGTGGATTAAAATCGCCACAGACGTAAGTGCTGTAGATGTCAGATGATATATTCTCCATTGATAATACAGTCAAGCCAGTTAATGCCGATTACGGGTAATATGAAAGGCGGCCACTGTAGAGGGGTGGCCTTAATAGACAGGTGCTACAACACAACTTTCTCTCTTGAGGGAGACAAAATGCATGTCCACTGTAGACAGGTGGCCTTTATAGAGAGGGGGATTCCGAGACAGGTTTAACTGTACTCCATGAAGTGTGAATTTTTCATATTTTTAGATATGTAATGCAGATGCAGAAATAGTCTAAAGAAGTCCAGGGGGGTGTTTCACAAAGATCCTAAGTTGAACTTATCTCTAAGTTGGACTTAGCAATTATGGAAAGCCGTTAGCATTAATGAAACTATTTTGTAAAAGTCATTTTAAAAGCCATAAAATGTTGATTCAAATCATTCACATTTTCTATTATGGAGGAGATTTCATGTTCTCGATTTGGAATTTATGAAAAGTCTAAAATACTTGAAATTTTTGTTTTGAATATATTTTATTTTAAGGCTACAAATGGCTCTCCATAAAGTTTAAGTCCAACTTAGAGTTATGTCCGCTTTAGGTTCTTTGTGAAACACCCACCTGGCCTCTTAATGTCACCAATGAAACAATTTTTGGACTAAAATATATGTATACCGGTAGATGTACATGTAGACTTAGTCAAAGAGAAAGGTATACCAAAATATTACAGCTTGTTTCTAGTAATTCCATGAATGAAAATATACCTGTATGCATAAAATTGCACAATGCATTATACAAAGTTGCCAGTTTCTATGTGAAAAATGTATTTTCAAATTCTTTTAAGTTTTATGTGTTGCCATTTTGAGGAATTTAAGGCTTGAATTTCATATTTGTGCCCGTATTGATATCCATGTGAAATAGAAATGGCTTCATATTCTTTGTGATGTTTGCTCTTTCTGCTTATATTCTTTGTACCATTTTTGATGAAAATGACTGTTCACATAATTAGTCGGTTTAATAATCCACCTTTTGTTTCTGTTTCTTGCAGCCATAACACACTTGTCAGTAGCAGGGTAAGCACAGTGTATGCTTTCCAGTTTGAAGACCGCTACTGGACAAAGCTATCCTCCTCAGGGAGTGTACGAGCAAGGTCTTATCATACAGCAAACATCATAGGCAACTACATGGTGGTGTATGGTAAGAAAAACCTACACAAATTTGTACTCCTGGGACTAGAGAAGAATTAATTTCTTCAAACTGAGATGCCAGTTTCATGGCCCTGGCGATATGTTTTGAGGCCATAGTGTAGGCTTTTTTGTGTACAAAATAGCTAATTCTAGGTGATTTTCAGGCCCTGTGATCAATTCTGACTGGCATCCCTGTTCAAAACTTGGGAAGAGATTGTTGGTGACTGTTAGAATTTCGAAAGATCAAGGAATTGCAGTTGAATTTGATGGCTTCTAATGGTCCTTAGCACATACTGTAAATCAGGCAACTTTTGCATGATATGGTAAAGAGAGTGTTCAGTGTTTGATTTGATTCTCTCTCTTGTTTTTGTGTCCTATTTGTACATTAGGTGGCCAGCAAATGTTAACAAATTATGGCCTTTTATGATAAAGTCTTTAAAGGGACATGTCCAATCCTGCATGCTATAGAAGCAACATCCCTCAAAGTAGTGTGGATTTGATGGAGGTTTCATCAGCCATGGGGCATTGATAATGAGATCATTGGTGGTTCTTTGTAGAGTATGGTTTAATCAATTCTGTTTTGATGTTCTTAGGAGGGAACGTCCACCAGCACCTCTCAAACAATGGCGGTTACGTGGATGTGCAGGATGGGAACTACGGGGAACACGAGAAGTGCTTTGAAGATGGCATAGAGCTCTATCACCTAGGCTGTCACAAGTGGGTATCTCTCAATGAGATCGCAGGGGACTTTCAAGGTGAATCTTTAGATACCTTAGGTATCTTAGCAAGATACAGGGGCACAAAAGGACACGCCCAGAACGTAAAAATGCATATTTGGGACTAATAAATATATATCTACTACCTTTGTATATGTTTTTATTTTGCATATCCATTAGCATCTGGCATTGCAGTACACCTAATAATGATGTCAATCTTATCCTTCAAGGCCCACTGTACTACTTGTACCTACTTGCTCCCTCTAGAAAACAATGCCTAAGCGGTGCCTGTTGGTCCCCCATGATCCCCTTTTTCTTATGTTAATTGAGAGCTGAGTTGATGAGATAACCACCCGTCAGTGACCATGCTGGGTAGTCCAATCCCTCTTGGCTAAGCTAGTGCAGACAGGCTTTTAAGGGATCTAAGCAAGCTACAGGGGCATGAAAAGACACGTCCGGAACGTAAAAATGCATATTTGTTGAAAATTATAATTTTATGGCATTGTGATAGAACCATTATTTTAAGGACATGGGACTAATATATATTATCTACTACCTTTGTATATGTTTTCATTTTGCATTTTCATTAGCATCTGGCATTGCAATACACTTTAATACTGATGCCAATCTTATACATAATTCAAGCACATTATATAGCTCAATGAAGTGTTTAGAGCATTCTTATACTTCTGACATAATGTGATTTTCATAGATGGTTTGAAAAGCTAACATTGTGAATGAGTTTCAGTTTCAGTTTCGGGTTCAGTTTCATTTATTCTCCTCAAGAGATCAACAGATAAAAATACATATATAAATAGACAAATGTATGACAATACATAAGATTAATTATAAAAAAGTGAGGAAGGCAGTGGCCAAAAAGAAAACAAACCTTGTAATAGGCCAACCCTTTAGAAAACAAGATATAATACATAACATAAAACACATCAAAAAGGAACACAAGATAAGATAAGAAATGAAGTATGTAACCTGATAAACAATAAGCAACTATGATGTATAGATGTAATAAGGTGATATTCATTTTCCTGCCCCTACCCCTTGTGTGTCTTAGATCCTAGACAGTACAATCCTTACACCGTTACCAAGGGACGCTTCGCCCACACTGCAGTGGTACGAGACGGCACTACCCTGGTCGTCATCGGGGGTTTCAACGGCGTTACTCAGAGTGATATATTCGCTGTCAAGATGCCTGGCTCGGTCGCTATCAATCCTGCAACAGTAAACGAAAGTTTGAATCCATGTGGCTCTCACATAAGGTACAAGTGCCTAGGGTGACGTGACATTCACTCTGGCAACTTTTTCTCTGGGCTTCATTTCATAATAGATATAGGGGTTAGGATTGCACTTGGGTTTTAGGTTAGCGTTAGGGTTGATGTTGGTTGCTAGCATCACACGTTTACAAGTATCAACTACAACGGCGTTACTCAGAGTGATATATTCGCTGTCAAGATGCCCGGCTCCGTCGCTATCAATCCTGCAACAGTAAACGAAAGTTTGAAACCATATGGCTTTCACAAAAGGTACAAGTGCCTAGGGTGATGTGACATTTTTTCTTGGGGCTTAATTTCATGAAAGTTACATGTATAGTGGTTAGGGTTGCACTTGGGTTTAAGGTAAGCTTTAGGGTTGATGTTGGTTGCTAACTATCAACTACAACAGTGTCACTCAGAGTGTTGTATCCGCTGTCAAAATGCCTGGTTCCGTCGCTACCACTCCTGCAACAGTAAGCGAAAGTTTGAGTCCATGTGGCCCTCACAAAAGGTTCAAGTGAATAGGGTGATGTTACATTTGCTGGGGTTAGGGTTGCCATTGGTTTTACGTAAGGTTTAGGGTTAGAGTTAGGGTTTGTTCTGGTTTTGGGTACAGAGTTGAACTTAGGTTAGTGGTAGCAATAAACTGCAGAGTAGTTGTGCTGGAGCATGTGCGATACAACTATGCATTGCTAGTAATTGAAAGGAAAAAATTACGTACAGAGACGCAAAGCGTAATTTACCCACTAAAGCATCTTATAATGTGTTATAACATTAATTGGGAATTGTTGGAGATATTTGTATATGTATCAAGTTTTTAAGATCATTGTTTAGGTAGATTTAAATGGACTGCCTGTTCTTACAGATGCTATGTTTGATCAATTGTCTTCCACAGTGTGAGTAATTGCACCCTTGATCCAGCCTGTGCTTGGTGTCCTCAGTCTAGCACCTGCTTTGGCTTCTCTGATAGTCAGGTAAGTCTCATTCAACACCAGCCAATGGTGGGTCTGGTGTGGAATCTACACCAGACAATGGTGGGTCTGGTGTAGAATATACACCAGGCAATGGTGGGTCTGGTGTGGAATATACACCAAACAGTGACAGGTCTAGTGTAGAGACTACACCAGACAGTGGTGTATCTTGTGTAGAAACTAGACCAGATAGTGGTGGGTCTGGTGTAGAGACTACACCAGACAGTGGTGTATCTGTTGTAGAATCTACACTAGACAGTGGAGAATCTGGTGAAGAATCTACACCAGACAGTGGTTGGTCTTGTGTAGAAACCATTTCAGGGGCATGTTGTCACACTTTTCCTTATGACGGTTTCATGAAAAAATGCCCAGGGGGTCTAGAGAGAAACATGCATGACTTGGAATACACTTGAAAGTACACTGTAGCCTATTGTCTGTTATCCAGGGCCCTCTCTTATAAAGAGTTGATATCAATCGCAACTTATTTACAGATGATATCAATCGCAACTATGTACATAAGAGATATAAGACTGCAAATTGGCGATTGATTGGATTTATTGGTTGTATAATTAAAGATTAAGTTGAGTTCTGGTCATGCGTTTGCATTGTGAAAGAAACGGTGTGGAATCAACCAGAAAAGGTTGATCATCTAGCATATAAGAATTTGTGTGTATTGCAAGGTTCCGGAATCATCAAAATGATAAGAAATTTGGCCAAGTCTTGGTAAAGTTACAAGCACTGTACACAGAAAGATGTATATGAGACTACACGAACATGTGGCGTAAAAATCCTACCCCCCGAGTTTTATGATGTTACATGACATATTTAGAATATACAGGCATTTGAAGAGCCATGCTTTTCAGGGAACCTGTCTTATCTGATGTTCTTCCACACTTGCATAATAAGAATGATAACGCTCACAAATTATTTTTCACCTCTTCCCAGAACTCAACCTTCTCTTTAATATTACTTTTTTTTTTTTTTTCTTCTTCAGTCTTGTTCTGGGGCCCTCCTCCAGGCTGATTGCCCGGGCATATGCAGTGCTCTGACCACATGCGAAGCCTGCATGCTATGGGGCCAGGGAGCTCAGACAGCGACCTTTGACCCCGAGGTCACCCATGTCAACGAGCAGTGTGGATGGTGTGTGCAGGATCGTGCATGTTACCCTCTATCCGGTGAGTGATCAAAGTGATAACGGTCACATAAACAAAAAGAGAGCAGTAAATGTAAAGACATTGAATATTGAATTATTTTTGTTATGAAGCATACATTTACCTTTTAAAGCTTATCTGTAATAGTTTATAAGAGAGATTAGACCGCCCTGCAAGGTCACTGTACAGGTGGTTATCTCATCAACTCAGCTCTCAATTAAAGGTAAAGACCAGTATTGGAAACGCCCCAATTTAAAAAAATGAAATTGAAGCTCTTATTACCAATCATGTGAAAGAATTTGTTTTGAATATTACATGACGATAACAATTTTGACGGGAAACCGCCTACTAATTGATATATTTGGTAAATTAGTATATCTATATACTGTTGAGAGATACAAATGCACATTTTGTGCATGTGTGTGTAGTCCCATATACATCTTTCTGTGTACAGTGCTTCTAACTTTATGAAGACTTGGCCAAATTTCTTATAATTTTGATGATTCCAGAACCTTGCAGTACATCTATGCTAGATGATCAACCTTTTCTGATCAATTTAACAACGTTTCTTTGACTATGCAATTGCATGACCATAACTGGTCTTTAGCTTTAACATTAAAAAAAGAGGATCATGGGGGACCAATGGTCACCAATTAGGCATTGTTTGCTATATAGAGGGAGCAAGTAGCTACAAGTAGGACAGTGTGGCTTTAAATTGCTAATAAATAAAAGAATATTGGAGGGAAAAGGGACATGAAATAGTGTTTCAGTAAATTTTTGATCCAAACGGTATAAACAGCTTCTTGAAAGTGAAACTTTCTTCTTCTGTCTGATACAAGCAGGATTGGTTCTTGTCACAACATTACACTTCTCAGAATTAGTATACTTGGAATTTTATTTGCATGCATGCCCAAAGTCTTATCCAATAGGGTCATTGTTACTACCTGTGGGCTGTCTGGGTGTACATGACCAACCAGAGATTGACTCATTATAAACAAATTGTTGCTACGGCAGAAAGTGTATCTGCTGACCAATAAACAGTAATCATACTTTTTTTGTGCAACTAATTCATGGATAATTCCTATTTAGCCTGATAGTCTTCAACTTCAGACTTTTTGTACTATTTTGCTTTCATTCCGCTACATACACATTGCATCTTAAAAAACAGTTGAAATAATGTTTGCTTACACAATGGTTCATAATACATAAAACTTTCATTCTTAAACAGCAATAGTCAATCTAAAAAAATTTATAAAGGTATTTCACATGTGTGTTATATGTCTAATATATATTTTTTAAATATCAATATTTCATCACACAGCTCCATCTGGTACATGTGACCCCTCTGCCAGTGACTCTGGTGCATGGTGGGGCCCTTCAGGGACCTTCATCGCGAACTTTGACCAATGCAAGACAGGGGATTTCCCTCCTGGCATGATGATGATGAGATACACACATCCACAGAACCTGTCTCATCCAGACCAGGTATGAGGTCATTATTAATCATATTCCATACTCTAATAGTGCATGGGGTGTTTCACAAAGACTAAGATCGACTTTAAGTCTGACTTAAATATGGCAGGCCATTTAGCCACTCGTTTCTCTCAGCATAATGATCTTTAGATAATATTTTTTCCTTGAATAATGAATTATAAAAAAATATTTAAAAAATTGTAGAATTGAGACCATGGTTTGTACATTCCTTGAGAGACTCTTGATTAGATTCATTGTAAAATTCACTGCCATGGAAGATCTTTTATCATATTACAGCAATGTCTTTCAGCTGAAACTTTCGTGATAGCTGTTCACACCTTAGGGCACCGAAGGGGTTAGATTAGGTTCAGCTTGAAATGCAGAACTCAAGATTTGCTTCAAGACACCACCATTATCTTTCCTTTTGTTTTAACTTCTTCACATAGATATCCATAGTGTCGGACACTCTGGAGAGGATCACCTACTACCCTGTCCTGCAATCATCCGAGGTGGCTGCTGCTGGGTTCTACACCGTAGTCATGAAGGGATTCATCCACCCGCAGGGCGCAACGTCTCCATCAGTCTGGATCAGGATCACTAAGGCTGAGGGCACCCTAGAGATCAGCTCCGATGACAACCCTGCCAATGCAGTGAGTGTTTCTTGCTCTAAAATGGCGATCCACTATTTGGTCTAGATATAATCAGTTCATTTCAGTTTATTTTATTTTTGCACGGCACTAATTTCAGCCAAAGGCTGTTCTTCTGCAGGTTTGTGCAGATGATGAATCATCACATGTTTATGGATTGAGTGTCAATTGGGTTTAAAGGTAGGATTATTGTGAGGGTTAGGGTTAGTAATGTGCGCAACCATTTGTGTGATTGTCTAAGATATGAAACCGATTTGACAGTTACTCCGACTAGAAAACTTGTAATGTATTAATTCTTTGTTATCTAAATCATTTTTCAAAACCTCATTCAGGAAAGATGTATTAATATAAATTCCCATATTCAATGCAATACAAATTTCTTTGAAAATCAGATCGTAGTGGGTTCGTATAGTGTGTGGTGGGCTTTAGTATTAGGGGTACAACCCTTAAAGTGACATGGTAACATTGCCTCAGATTCTGAAACAAAATCCTGGATTTAGCTCATGCTGCAATCATAATTATAAACATTTAGGTCAGTCAGGAACCCCATGTTACAAGCCGATTGCCTGTCTGATTATCAAGATATGTATGATTGGAAATCAAAATTTCATTCTATTGGGGAAAATGAGTATGGTAAAACCGGTCACTCAAAGATTTTTACATTGTTGAGGCACTTCTTGATCATTTTGAATAGCAATTTTTCAAGGGCTTAAATATTACACCATTTCACAGCCACTGATAACACGTAGGGCTATGCATCTCAGATTTAATATTGTTAAACGATGCCTTTAATAACACTCTTCCATCTCTGTTAAACTTCTCTTCACAGGTGAAGTTAGCTGAACAAGCTTCGAGCAGCACGATCGAATCTCCCATCCAGGCCAAACGCAGCCCAGCCTCGGCCCCTATCTTCCCGGACACCAGCCCAGGGACCAGGTACTACGCCACCTTGGAGGAGAGGAAGCCAATCACAGCCAGCATGCAGTACTCCAGCTCAGCCATGGAACTCCTCTGGGATGGCTATGTTGAGAGCGGACTCGTCTACCATGTAAGTAATAACAAGTGTTGATGAGTGATGATTAGGTTGGATTGAGTGCTGGGGGTGTTTCACAAAGATCCTAAGTTGAACTTATCTCTAGTTAGACTTACAAATTATGGAAAGCTGTTAGCATCTTTGAAAATATTTTGTAAAAGTTATTTTTAAAGGCTTTAAATGTTGATTCAAATCATTCATATTTTCTTTTATCAAGGAGATTACATGTTCTTGATGTGGAATTTATGTAAAGTCTGAAATATTTGAATTCTGCTGATGAATATGTTTCATTTTAAGACTACAAATGGCCCTCCATAAATTTTAAGTCCAACTTAGAATTAAGTTCTACTTAGGATCTTTGTGAAACACCCCCCTAAACTCATGGTGATTATATACATGTACATTGTGAGTAGCAATGCGTTCAAAGTACTGATGATTATCTAGTTGGATCGATAACAAGTTAATGATGATTTAGACCAAGTATTATCATAGATAATATGATAAAAAAAAGGATGCAAATATCATCAGATCCACAGTCAATGATTGCTGACTGCTTTAGAAATATTAAATGTTTAGAGTGAGATGGTAAAGTTTATTTATTTAATTATAGATGAAATATCGATGCACACTCCATACTCCATACTTGATGAAATATTGATGCACACTTTATACTTGATGAAATATCGATGCACACTCCATACTTGATGAAACATCGATGCACACTTTATACTTGATGAAACATCGATGCACACTTTATACTTGATGAAACATTGATGCACACTTTATACTTGATGAAATGTTGATGCACACTTTATATTTGATGAAATATCGATGCACACTTCGTACTTGATGAAACAACGATGCACACTTCATACTTGATGAAATATCGATGCACACTTTATACTCTATACTTTTCCTGCACACAGAGCTTCACATCAGATTATCTTCAGCCGTACAAATCGGATTCCTGCACCAACTACTCTACCTGTCGAGGGTGTCTGACGGACGCTGCGTGCGGCTGGTGCCCCCTGAGCGATACCTGTGAGCTACGGGACGGACCTACCTTGTCCATGGACCGATGCGGGACCTCTAATCGACCTATCGAGCATTATCTGGTCTTGGATGAGGGCAACTGCGGCAATTGCAGCCAGCATTGGAACTGTGACTTGTGCACTACGGTGAGTGTCTTTTATTTTGATTGGAGGCTTGCAATTTTTTTTTTTATTTGGTGATCGTAATCATCATGGTAACTGATTCTTAATTTCTCAATCATAACAAACTCTTTATTACCTTGATATTTTCAACAATATTATAATCACCCCAACCAACAATTTTTGTGGTAAACACTATCATTATTTGGGGAAGTGCAAAAAGCTCAGTGGTAGAGCAGTGGTCTCGTAACCAGAAGGTCACTGGTAAGAATTTGCTCAGTGGTGCAATACCCTGAAATGAAGTTTGTAATCAATTGTGTCTCTGTCCATGCATCCCAGGATCCCTTGTGTGAGTGGATGAATGCTGACGTATCGTGCACCAGGCGAGGGCGCTTTGAGACCGCTCTAAAGGATCCAGCGCAGTGTCTACCAAAGTGTCAGGAGTGAGTATAATAATAATAATAATAATAATAGCTCACATTTCTAATGCGCCTTATACTTTGTTTCTAGGCGCAGTACATATTATTACTCCGGTCATAGGATTCAGGATTACCCACACACAATGTTTGCACATTCTCCACTCCCTGGGGAGCATTCCACATTCATATTCCACATTCATATTCCAATCTTCAGCAAATACAGTATAACTTTGTTAATCATGCGATGGCTCAGTGGTAGAGCACTGGTCTTGTAACCGGGAGGTCCTTGGTTCGAACCCAAGTCAATGCTTTTGTGCCCCTTTGTTAATTGCCTCGTTACAAACTATGTCATTCGCCTGATACAAATAATTGTATTTCAATGGTCAAAGTGCGAATTGCATACATTAGGTGTTGTTATGTACGAAAAGCCATCATGTTTGTCCTACCCAGCAACAAATAATGTATGCTACTATTATAAGAAATGCAAGTTGACAGCAATTCAGGGCCCTGTTTCATAAAACGTGTTATTAATAACAAGTTACAATAACTGTTGAAAGCTACTGAAATCGTGGCATCTGATTGGCTGAAAGCAAATTGTAGACATTTAGCATTTGTTATTGATATCAAGTTTTATGAAACAGGGCCCAGAGATCTCACTGTGTGATTGCCTCTCATCCATAACAATGTATTTGTTTTTGTTGTTACAGAATCACAGACTGCACTGGTTGTATTGGAATAAAGAACTGTGCATGGTGTGCTGACACTATGACCTGTCTGCACTTCCCAACCTACATCTCTTCCTTCATCCATGGGGAGTGTTCACATTGGTATGATCAGTAAGTATTACGAAAAGATGATTGGTACTACGATATCGGAGAATCACGTTATTTCGGCTTTCTGTTTCATTCTTGCGTTTTACTCTGATGGGTGCAAGACATAAAGCTTAAAGGACAAGTCCACTCCAAAAATAACTTACTCTCAATAAAAGCAGATAAATCAGACAAACCAATCAAAACAAGTTTGAGCAAAATCGGATAACTAATAAGAAAGTTAGGAATTTTTGAAAAAGTATGTAAAACTATGGAACAATGAGAATCATAACACAATTTGCCAACATGGTTATCAGTTTGTGACGTCATGTCCTTACAACTTATCAATTGCTTTATATAGTTTAATCACATTAATTTCCCTTTTTATCCCCCAAAACTTGATTTCCCCATGCCTTTGCCCAGGTTATATGATTTGTATCATATTGCGTGCATGACATTTCCCCAAAACTTTTATGAATTTTGAAGAATTGATACTATTTTCTGAATATTGTATTTCATAATTATTGATTTTTTTATAAATAGTTTATCAAAATTCAATTTTTCTTAATTTAATAATTAATAATTCTTATTAGTTATTCGATTTTGCTCAAACTTTTTTTGATTGGTTAGTCTGAATTTTCTGGTTCTATTGAAAGTAAGTTATTTTTGGAGTGGACTTGGGCTTTAAGTATGGCTCTTTTCAACGCGATTCTCTGAGTAAGTATTATGGAAAATCCATTCTAAGATATTATAGTACTTTGTCATATCATATCACAGTGTATAGTAAAATTGGTTATACACTTCGCTTTCATCCATGGGGAGTGTTCACATTGGTATGATCAGTAAGTATTATCTAAAATCCATTCATAGATAATACATTTATGTCACAGAGAGTATCTAATTTTGTTTACTTTGCTTATTATATCCATGGGGGCAGTTCATACTAGTTTGATCATTAAGTTAACCCTGAAGGATTATTTTCATATGACAAGATAAACTGCAGCTTTTTTGCAATGAGTGGTCGAGATATCAGCTGCCATTACATTCATTGTCGCCACCCCCCCTCACTTTGCCATCTGTTTGTGCTTTGTTTCGCAGGGAGGACACTGTCTGCCCGACATGTTCCGCTCATCAGACCTGTGATGACTGCTTGGATACCTTCCAGTGTGGATGGTGTGGAAACACAAACGATCCAGACATCGGGATGTAAGTTGCCCTTTATTTCTCTTCAAATTGGCAATACTTGTTGATATGTATGATTATGTAGAATATATATCTCAAAACTCTCCTCTTCTCTTAATAACATAACTGTAAAGCGCATTTGAACATTTATGGAATATGAGCTATATAATACATTGTTATTATTAATTGCCTTTTTTCTACTTTTAATTGGCAATACTTGTACTTGTGTAGTAGGATGTCTGTATTACATGTATATGCTATATCAATGCAACATATACTATTTTCCTGTTGATAAGCTACATTTCTCTGACAAAAAGTCGTGTATCGGAAAATGAATATAGAATGTACATTGATATACATGTAGACAGAAGTTTTGAATTGTCAATGCACATGGGAAAACAAATAATCTTGAATTTGTCAAAATGTTGCCAATAGACTGATTTTTACAGCATCTTCTTTATTTAAATGCTGTATGCTATGCATCAAATGCCATAACGGTTGCTCATCTAAGATGGATCCAGATATTTTGATTGTACGTATTTAACCGCATAATACCCTTCATGAATCAACCCCTGTTATAGTTGTTTCCCCAAATTTGATGGTGTTTGCAGGCACAAAACGCACCACATCATTTGGTATATACAGTTAACAACTAAATTATGCATTTCCTTATCAAGTTCTGTAATGTTTAAGTATGCAAAAAACTGATTTGTCCCCATTTGTGTTTCTTGAGAATATCACATGTTTAAAGCTTTACATCTAAAATTATTAAACAAACGTCCTACATGTAATTCGACCAGTCCATCTTTCATTCTTGATGTTGGAAAAACGAGAAATATCTAATTTACAAGGGGTATGAGTAATTTAGTCATTAACTGTACATTTACACCACTTATTTTAAAACAAAAATTCATTTCCTTCTTCTGCAGTTGTAATCTGGTGACTTCAATGGTCCGTACGCAAATATGAACCTTCAGAAATCACCCGTTGGCCTGATATAGTTATTTGCCCGAACTAATTGTCAACTAAGTGGTACACCATTTATTAGATACATGTACGCAATCTCGTTATAACAACAAATTATTTCCTTCCTCTGCAGTTGTCAATCTGGTGATTTCAACGGTCCATACTCTAATATGAACTGCTCAGCTGTAGTGGCTGAAGCCAACGAGACATCGGTTTTATCGCCCGCTGATTGGTCGTATGAACAGTGCCCCGATGTTGACGAGTGTCGCCTTGGGCGCCATGATTGCCACGGTAATGCCACCTGTCTCAATACCTACGAGGGCTTTGACTGCAGATGCAACTATGGATTCAAAGGAGATGGAAAGATATTCTGTAATAGCACGTGAGTATTAACCCTTTCAGGACACGTTGTATTTGTAGGGCTAAATTGATCACACTTTGTTCTTCTAATTGGCAACAATAATTGTTTGTCTTTTATTGCTTAATTGTTTAAATAAAATGTGATGTCTCTGACAAGGATGTTGTCAAAAAGTTGAAAAATGGGAAATTTGATCGAAAAACAATAATATTCAATCTACCAAAAAGTTGCCACTTTAAAGATTTCATAGCTTATTTTCCTTTTTGACATTCCTGGCATCAAACAAATATAGTCATGAAATAAAAATGGATGCAGTTTCTCAATGGCATTAACTCATATACTTTAACACAGAGTTTTCACTGTTCTGGCTCTGAACAAATGATATGCCATGGTTAACAGCAGCTGTTTGTTGTTGGCGTGTGTGAAAAATGATTGGAAAGTTGGGTTGATGAAAAGTACCTGCATGCAACAAAAGTATACTGCATACTTGTATTGATATACAAAGCTGTGAACTGCAATATGCTTAGAACCCCCCTGTAATATACCACTGCGTTTTTCATGGAGCATATGTAAACAAGCCTTAACCTTGCATTTTTTAATGGTTCTACTGACTCAGCAGAGGGTTAGAATCTTACTTCATACTGACAGACTGGTGAATAACCCATCTCACTCTTTATTTCCCCATACCCAGGTGCTTTCATACGTGTGAGCTTGGGTACTGCAGTGGGATGCCAGACTTTGAGTGTGTCTGCGATCTGGGCTGGACCGGGGTGAGCTGCAACATCAGCTGCGGGTGCAACAATCACAGCACCTGTGTCAATGGCGTGGGTCTGTGCGACGAATGCCAAGGTAATCAAAAGCTTTCACAAATATCCTGGTTTTCGCTCCTGCTTTAGATCATAAAGTACGTTTGCAAATCGCATAAATGCCGTATTGTAATTCAACTATTTCATCAATCTAGATAATGTCAAAGTTTTCTGGTTTCTACAGTATTTCTTGATTGAATTAGTACCTGTGTCAATGGTGTGGGACTGTGCGATGAATGCTAAGGTAATCAAAAGCTTTCACAAACATCCCGGTTTCTGCTCCTGCTTTAGATCATAAAGTAAAACGTTTGCATATTGCAAAATGCTGTATTGTAATAATGCAATCAGCATGTGCCAGCCACTAGAGATCATATAGAAACAACCAACCACTCGATAAACAGGAAAGAGTACAAAATATTGACCAAAGAGGACCCCAAGCCGACAAGCTGGATACAGGAGTCTTATCTGCTACTGCATTGGCAACACGCTGGGAGACGACTACAACACTATGAACAGGGACGGTGTGGCTGACACATTCTGTCAAATGTATTCCACCCCATTCTTTCCAAGCTGTATAAATGACATCTACGACAGCCTCGATCTGACAAAGAACGCTGTTAGTATTCGAAAATACAATGTTTTAATAATTGATTGTGTGAAAAGAATTTTCAACACTCATCACTTCCCTAATCCAATTGTTCCTCTCCCCTGCAGAATGGTCTACCGGCTCACACTGCCAGTACTGTCTACCGGGTAGCTACGGTGATGCTACCACGCCCACTGGCTGCGTGGAGTGTGACTGCCATGGGCATGGCAATGCCAGCATGGGTAACTGTGACGGGACGACGGGCCTCTGCTACTGCACCGGCAACACGCTCGGAGACAACTGTGAGACGTGCGAAGAAGGCTTCTTTGGAGAACCGCAGTAAGTGGGATTTAAAGCTTATCTGTACTAGTTTATAGGAGGGATAAGACCGCCCTGCAAGGTCACTGGACAGGTGGTTATCTCATTAACTCAGCTCTCAATTAACATAAGAAAAGAGGATCATGGGGGACCAATGGTCCCCGATTATGCAGTTTTTGCTAAATAGAGGGAGCAAGTAGCTACAAGTAGTACAGTGTGGCTTTAAGCTGTTGACTACCAATTTCTCTAATTCCCATATGCTTAGTACATGGACCACCCAGTTCCAGTATTCATTGGGTTAAAAAGATATATTGTTGTAGTAGAGGTGCCTTGGTCTGGTAGATTCCTCACCGAACCGTGGGTCACATGGTTCGCGGTTCAAGTCCCGACGCGGCACTCATGTCCTTTGCCAAGACATTAATCTAAATTTGCTGCACTCCAAACAAGTGAAGTTAATGGGTAGCCAGTAAGAAGGAATTCCCTGAATGCTTTTGTGCATTATCATGGTTGCTCAGCTACAGAAGAGTAATGAAATGATGCTTTGTATTAAGTGCAGTAGATTACATGTATATTCAAATTAGTAACTGTGCTATAAAAACGGACATATTATACAGTACTTATGTCTGTGCAGCGCCCTTGGCTACACATACGCATAACTGGAAGATTCTAATAAAAAAAATTATGCAACAAATACATTTCAATCTCTATTAAAGTGATGCGTTGAAATGCAGAAAAGAGAAAGAAAAAGACAGAGCGAGAAAGAGTAAGATAGAGAGAGGGAGATGGAGAGTAAGGTAAGAGAGAGGGTGGAGGGTGAAGAAAAGAATTTAAAAAATGGATTGTATTCCTCATTTGTTTTGTTCTCTTTGATTCTATCAGGGGCTGTGAGTATGAAAGAGGGGAAGAGAGAGAGATGGAGTGAGAGAGAAAGATGGGAAAGATAAGGATTGAGAGGAAAGAAGAAAAAGAGAGAGAGAGAGAGAGAAAGAGAGAATAAGAGAGACAGAGAGAGTAAGAGAGAGAGAGAGAGAGGGGGAGGTGCAGAAAAGAATAAAGAAAAGGGATTGTATTCCTCATTTGTTTTTTTTCTCTTTGATTCTATCAGGAACGAGGGCAAATGCTACCAGAAGTGCAATGGACGATCCATCCTAACCAATGTCCATTCCTCAAGGCTGGGTTCCTACGAGGGTCTTGGGGTACAGGATCCCAACCATGGGTACTGCCTCTGGGTCTTGACCACCTTCGGCAGCCTGGTCCAAGCTTCTGGGGCGCTCAGCTCTCCTGGAGCCATTACACTCACTGTAGATACCCTGGATGTAGAGTGTGGGGTAAGTACCAATCAGATAATAATGATAATAATAATAATAGCTCACATTGATAATGTGTGTGATACCTTGTTTCTAGGCGCAGTACGTATCATTACCCTGGTCATTGGATTCAGGCTTACCCGCACACAATGTGTGCACGTTTTCCACTCCCTGGGGAGCATTCTGGCCAGTCGCAAGGATCTGTGACAGTCGGAGTTGATCATCCCAAAACACTGATTCCTACTCCCACTTGCTTACAAAATATGTCTTTTAATCATTTATTTGTTGTTTCATACAGCCAGTCAGCATACCACTATCTGTTACGAACCTGCTTTCTACTAGGGCCCTGTACAATTAAAAACCATTATACAATAAAAATATGTTTCTACAAAATTTGTTGGTATTCCGGCAAGATATTTCATCAGATGGGTGCATATGAAAATGACCGTTTCCTGTAAGATTTTTTCATAGGTTGTGGGATGTAAAATGAAGACTTTTTACTGTATTTACAATTCATGTGTCTGTTTTTTCTTGCCCTTTTCAGCGAGATTATGTTCATGTTTATGATGGCATCCCTGAGCATCTCTGGGAGAACTTTGGCGTGTCTGTAGCGAGCCAAGAGATTGGGGCTTTCTGTGGACACTCTTCCAGCGCAGCCATCAGAACAACTGCGTATTCAGGTATTCATCTTTGTATTACCTTTGTAATGGATTCTGTAAGATATTTAGAAGTAGGTTTTAAGTATGGCGTTGCAATACATGGACTTAACACAGAAAAAAACAAAACATTGTATGACATTGCCGCTCTGCAGTTGTGATTAGTTAGAAAATAATTATTCATATAATGGGGATAATACACAGTGTACATGTACATACGTACAGGAGACAGGTGTGAAGCAGGATTAGATGTTTAATATTAAGAAACTATGGTTGAGATGGATTTGAACTTCACAGACATTTCTTCATAATGATAATATCCCACCTTACAATGTCCTGTGTTTTTAGGCAGTAGCCTAGGCTTGAAAGATCCTTTTTTACAAGCTTTCTCTTGTTATTTTCAAAAGATAAAGTATGTGGTTTTAAAAAAAATAAAATGTATTGGTTACTGTATCATCTATTTTTTCATATAGAGCAAATTACCAGTTACACTGTAACTGACCAGAGCGCTTACATTATCATTAACCAGATCACTAGATTCAATTACCAGTCTCCCCCTTGTTAGTACATGTACATGTAAAATTCCAAGTGTCATTCAAACCAACATGAATATTGAATCAAATTAAATCAAACCAACTTTTCCTTTAATAGGTGTGATGACCATTGCCTTCCAAGCCAACGTCAGCGCGACGTCGCCGACCCAGGGCTTCACCGCGGTCTACGACGTCCGTACCTGCCAGGAGGATTGCGACGGTAACTGGCACTGCGCTAACGAGGACGAGGATGAACTGGAGGACGATCAGGTGTGCGAATGCAGGGCGGGATACACAGGAGACGACTGCGAGGAGGAGATATGCCCCGACGACTGCGGAGTGCTGGAGGGTCGTGGTGCATGCAATGATGTGAGTACCTTGAGAAATATGTAATAGTAGTAGTAGTAGCTCTTGGTGAGAAAAGAAAATGTTCGAGTCGTCAGCAGGACAGGGTTGTTGAAGACATGTAAAAATCATTGATATAAACAATAAAAAGTAACAGACCTAAATTAGAACCTTGAGGCACGCCACTTTCAATGGTCTTTATAGAAGAATGTGCATCGTCTATGAGAACGTATTGCTTTCTATTTTGGAGGTAGTTCATAATCATTATTCTTTTTTATAATAGCAGATTCAGAGGGATCTCCCCAAGCATGGGTGGTTTGAAGGCACTCATTAAGTCCCACAAAGTTTTAGAGTATAGAATAGGTAGCCAAGAGTAAGAATAGACTTGCTCTTCACCTTTGAAAGTGGATGATCAGATGATGTATCAACAATTTTAAGACATATTCTTGAAGCAATTTCATTGTGTTTGTTTACATATTCATTTCTCCATTGCCACCTGCCTATATTATCTTGTCATAAACTCTCACAATTTTGAGTGTTACTAGAGCTCTGAATGATGAATCATATGAAATATAATTCTAAGACTCCAAGTAATCAACAACATAAAATTTCCATATCCATTCCAGCATCTTCTACTGTGCATCTGCAATGAGGGGTACAGCGGTGCTGCGTGTGACATCATCACAGCGCCCTCTAAGTCCCAATCAAAAGCAGTCTGGTCACTGCTCTACGATGCCGATCGGCTGAGCTCTAACGCCAATATAGGCCCGACCAGTCGTATGGGCCACACCATGGTTGCTGACGGGGGTGGTAAATTCTGGCTGTTTGGCGGATACTCGCAGGACAATCAACGCTTGAATGATGTCTGGAGGTATATATTTTTATGAAGATTATTAGTTTTTGTGATTTTGCCGTGACATTCTAAAATGTCATTTATACCAACAAATGAAAGAATATTTGCATCTTTATAAAGTTCTACTAGTTCTGAGCAAGGTTAATATGTGGGATAAATTCCTATATTTGTCATCTTTTATATTTTTTTCATTCATTCTTGTAATAACTTTTCAGATATAGTCTCAATTTCATTGCGTCAGGGCAAACTGATTTAATTTACTTTACGAGTACAGTTTCTCAAGTTATTTGTTGGTTGTGGTTAACTTCAGGCACTTGCCAACTTAGTTTCAGGGTTATTAAATGAGTTTCTACATGGTGTACCGTGTAAAACTTATCGTTGCCTTTTCCTTGGTAATCAAAAAGTGGTAGGACATGTTTATCCTATTAGCTGTCAGTTTATATTATTCATGTGTGTCCAGAATTTCAGGGACAGAATTGTCAAAGTACAGTCAAACCTGCTCTAGTGGCCACCTGTCTATAGCGGTCACCCATATGTTCTCCCTCTAGAAGGAAATGCATATGGAAGAATCTGTTGAACAAAGCCACTTGTCTATAGTGGCTACATTTTCCCTCGGGTGGCCTTAAAGGCCAGCTGTACTAGTTCAGCCTGATGGGATTAGACCACACAGCGAGGTCACTGACAGGTGGCTATCTCATTAACTCAGCTCTCAATTAACATACGAAAAAAAGGGGGTCATGGGGGACCAACAGGCATCGATTGGGGAAGTTTTCTATTTAGAGGGAGCAAGTAGCTACAAGTAGTACAGTGTGGCTTTAATGGACAGAATTTGACTGTATATGTACTCTTTCATAATCAGTGCAATGAGAAAATCTGTAAAAATTGTGATTTTCCAGCACACAAACACATCAACAATTTTTGCATTACATGTGTACCTCCTTCCTGAATCACCAGCTATGATGCATCTGCATCCCAGTGGACGCACCACCCTTCAGGAAACTCACCCTCTGCACGTAACTACCACGCAGCTTCGTTTGTGGCTCCGGATAGGATGATCATCAGCGGAGGGCTGTCCGATAGCGAGGTGCTGAGTGACTGGTGGATCTATTCATTGACACAGCGCACCTGGTTGGAAATATCGGTGAGAGTATGTCGTCTTTTAACCCTTCTGGCTCTTCACAGGCGCAGCGTTGTCTATTTGGAGCCAGAAGGACGTTGACTTTTATAATTTAACGAAGAGTTAATGCCCTTCTGGCCTTGGAACAGTTTAGGTGGAAAATATAACACATGGGGCAGAGGGTTGAATTTTGAACCCCAAATATCATGGTAGCACCCCACTTTTTTTCTTAATTTTTTTTTCTTAATTTGTTTCTTTTTTACATTTCATTATTGTTCATGTTGATGACAGTTATTTAGCTGAGTCCGTTTAGGCGTAAAAGTAGCTTTTATATTTTTCACTTGTAATCACTACAACAAAATGAAATAACAAGAGAATTGTGGACTTCACAATTAAGAGTACACTGTACATGTAGGGGCCCCTTTTTCATGCATCTGTGTAGCTTTTCACTTCAACTTGCCATTCTTTTACACCTGAAATACCCTAACACCCATAAAGTTGGAATACATTTTTCTCACATCTTTTAATGAAATGATTCTGACAGTGTGGTTTATTCTTGATGGATAAAGTCAATAGCTTCTCAAAACCTTATAGATCATTCTCTATGACTGTTTAGATTGATCTATAGAGTTCTAAAAGGATGTAAACTTTATGTACCAAGAATATATCGTGTTTTCACAAATTTATCCCCTCTTTACAGGCAACTGTAGTCTTGTTTTGCCACTGTTTATTTTTTAGGCGGTCTACTTTGGTGTCAACAAGGTTTTAAAGATGATTTTATTTCTCTTTCCAGGCTCCCATTGACGATCTCCAGATTGCAGGCCATACAATGAACATGGTCGATGACACCACCCTGATCGTCATCGGGGGTTACTCACCTACGATGGGCCTCCTGGAAAAGATCATCAACTTTGACATCTCCACACTGACGGGTCATTTCAAGTCATCTCAAGGCACTCCACCAACAGGTAATAAAGCACGGAAGAAAGATAGAGAGTTGATATTGATATTGTTGTGTACTATGCAACATGTATTAAGCTATTTACGTACTCTCTTGAAATAAATAGTTTAGACCGTATGCCTATTTTCAAATGGTATCATGCAGTTTTTAAACCAATCTTGTGTATTGTTTTACAGGTCTGTTTGGCCATTCGACTGTCTGGCATAATGAGACTAGTTCTCTCTATGTGTTTGGAGGCTACCGATTCCACTTGCAGGCCCTGGCTATCTCTGACAAACTCTACGCATTCCATGCTCCGTCTGCAGGCTGGAGTATACTGCCTTCAGAAGGCTACAAGGTAAGTTTACAAAAAGGAGAGGAGAGGAGAGGAGAGGGGGAGTGGAGGGAGGGGTGGAGAGGGGATGAGAGAGAGACAGATATTGATACAGTTTGATAAACTGGAGAATGGGAAAGGATCAGATATAGGAGAAAAAGAGGGGGAGGGTGAGACAGACATAGAGAGAGAGAGGAAGGAAGGAAGGAAGGAGACAGATTAAGAGAGATCGATATATGTTGAGACATAGAGATAGATGAACAGAGAGAGAATGAGCTCAAGAGACAGAGTGATAAGAGGATGTAATAAACTATGGTAGAGATACAGACAGACAAACAGACTTGAGACAGAGAGACAGATAGAGAGCAAGGTAAGTTAATCAAGGAGAAAAATAACAGCAAGAGAATCTGTGCATTTGACTGGAACAAAATTGTGATTGCTATGTTAAAAAGAAAAGATATTGCGAATAATTAGTGACAAAGGACATGAAAGCAAAACCAATTATATTGTATCCATCTACTTATCTGTGCATGCATCATATGGCACTTCAAAATTCTCTTTTTCTTTGCTTTGACAGCCGGAAGCACGCATGTTTCACTCTGCGGTTACTTTCTCCAAGTACATGCTTGTCCTGGGTGGCTTTGCAGAGGGAGAGGAAATCAATGATAACGTACTGGTCTACCACTACTCCTGCAACAGATGGCAGTCACTGGATGGACAAGGTACTGTACCCAAAGATAATCCAACATTTGCTCCAACCATTCCTATTTTTTGGTCTTCAAGCTACTGTTTTGAACCCTAGTTTCCTTTCGTTTTCTGAAATATTATGTGTGAAAAGTTTACAAAATAGACTACATTCCTAATTTTGGCTTGAGAGACTCATAATGTTTGCTGTGAAAGATTGGCATGTACGCATTTAGTTTGGCAACATTGCAAGGCTTTATCTCGTCAAAGCTATAGGGTTAGGGTTGGAGTTGGTGGCATATGTAGATGAATGCCTTGCCATTGTACATTAATGTTGCGACGTGACTCGAATTGCAACTATGTGATACACCCACAGTCTGGCGACATATTCACTAGACCATGACACCTCAACATCAATGTGTTTCTCATTCTCCTAGGATGGTCTACTGGAGCACAGCCCAGACCTCTCCACAGCCACGTTGCCACAACGAAAGACGACATGGTCTACCTCTTCGGGGGCTACGACGGCTCGACCTACGGCTCTATGAGCACGGCCGACATGCCCTCTGACCTTTGCACCCTTCAGACCACCAGTGATGGATGCAAGGCCACGCCCGGCTGCTCGGCCTGCGTCAGGAGCAACTCAACGTTGGTGGCATGCTTCTCAATTGAGGAGGATTCGTCTGTCAGGTGAGGGCTATTTCCTGTCACAAGGTTATACAGTGGCTTCCTCAAAAATGTGGATTAATGTATTCATTGTTTTCAATCTCTTCTCAGCTGCGAGTCTCCCAACCAACTACTGAATGGAACTGTGTGTCAAAATGCTTTCATTGAACGTAGAAACCTCAAGTTTGAGTTATCATTACATGTGGCTGTAAATGGCTAGCAGTGATGAGATTCACCAGCCAAAGGTACTATCAACTTGATATCCTTGTTTCAGCCAATTCTGCAAAATTAATTTCCATGCTATTACATGTACATGTATATCCGTAATCGTCTGAATTTTCAATCCCTCCTCAGCTGTGAGTCTCCCAACCAGCTAATGAATGGGACTGTGTGTGATAATGCTTTCATAAAAAAAAACCTCAAGTTTGAGATATCATTACATTTGGCTGTAAATGGTTAGCAATGATGCCGATCACCATCCTTGTTTCAGTCTCTACTGCAAGACTAATTTCTGTGCTTATATATCCGTAATTGTCTGAATTTTCAATCCCTTCTTAGCTGTGAGTTTACCATTCAGCTCCTGAATGGGACTGTTTGTGACAATGCTTTCATTGAACATTGAAATCTTATCCTTTGAGTTATCATAAATGGTTTAATAGCAATGATGAGGATCAGGCACTATCACCTAGATATCCTTTTTCAGCCCGTTCTGCAAAAGTAATTTCTTTAATTGTCTGAATTTTCAATCTCTCCTCAGCTGTGAGTCTCCTAACCAGCTATCGAATGGGACTATGTGCGACAATGCCTTCATTGAGGGTAGAAACTGTAGCAAGCTATCCATCTGCAGTGAGTGTGTGACGGTCTACCCCTCCCACCCCTCTGCTCAACAGGTAAGATCTCATAAGTATCTAGCATATTGTCTGTTTTACCAATTATAGCGAGAAGGGAGTTAATTAACTCATATAAATGAATACAATGTCATGTAATTTTGCATTGAGTTAATAATAATAATAATAAATAATAATACATTATGTTTATATAGAGCTTATTACAATGTTTCTAAGCGCTTTACAAAGTTGTACTTAGATAATAATACATTCAATAACTATAATTAATATATACTAATCAACCTACAATTAATTCAAAATACATACATAAGCACAGATACATCTAGTCAATACATATAGATACAATAGAATACAATTAATTTTAGGGCGAAACATTACAAATTCAAATTAAGGCAATTATATTACATCTACCGTGAAAAACACATTAAAGCTACAGACTAACAGGGAGGATTAACAGGGAGTTAATGTATTTCTGACTTCACAGACCACACAGGTAATATTATCTGCTAATAGCTGGAATGGCATTAACTCATATACCTGTAATTCAATGATTTGTGTCCTTTTTGCTCTAAAGAGATAACATTTTCTGCTTTGAGCCAGAAAGGCTTTAACTGTCATTTTTTTACATTGAGTAAAAAGGGTATGAATGATATAGTTTTTAACTTTACATATGTTCAGTTCGATCTTGAAATTGAAAGCAACTTTTTGTTGTTAAAGGGAAATGCCAATGAAATAAATAATAAGTTGGTAGTTATAACAATACACATCCTTTTGTTTCTGTTGTATCATTGTTCCTTCCAGACATGCAAGTGGTGTTACAACTGTCCTGAAGGAGCTTGCATCCCAACGGCTGCTAACTGCATGGAGGAACATAACTGTCAAGTGGAGACGCAGAAAGAGTATCATGATCGCAGTGTCTGCTCAGAGACGATCTGTGAAGCCAGTGATTGTACCAAGTGTACCTCGGGTAGTAGCCCCTGCGTGTGGACCAGGCAGTTCAAACGCTCGAGTAAGCCTCTCACTTTTCTTGATGATAATCTTGAGATTATGCAAAATCAAATGTTACATAACTTACTTGGCAAACTTGGATGCACAGTATGATCCTTTGGTCCATCTTTTGTACACACTGTAACATGCAAAAAGTTGCTGTATTGCACGGTCATGCACAACTTCAGAGCTGCCAACCATTATGTTTTTCCTGGAATTATTTTTGTTCTCCAAATTAAGGTAGTACGTTTTTCTTCATAAATTATGATTTTTTAATTGTTGTTTTGTTTTGTTTTTTGTTTTTTGTGCACATACCAACCACATGTCAACCAAATGCCCTAAAATGTTGATCAGTACTTCAATAGAGATTTATGAGGAGTACAAATTTACAAACAGTAAATTAGTAAATATTCTCAAAAAGAATGAAACTCAGATAAAACCCCCCAAACTACCTACTTGTAAATAAACTATAGATCCTATAATATGGAAATAACAGCATGAGGAATGGACATTTCTGAATTGGAAGTGTGTCGCACGTGGTTGTAAGTTTTGTTTGAATGAATTCCTTTTTTTGCTTAAAATTCCTTTTTTTTTACCATCATGGGTTCTTTTTTTGGTTGCACAATGTTGGCAGCTCTGCAAATTATCAAGTCAATTCACACCATTTCCAGACCTGCCAACCCGTACGATTTAGTTGTATTTAGTATGATTTTTAGAAGCAAATACGACAGTACGATTTTCCTTAATAAAATATGATTTTTCCAAAAAAAAAAACCAAAAACGATTTAAAAAAAAAAAAAATTGTATTAATATTTTGTGTGTGCGTCCGCCATTTTCAATGGCGAAATGTCCATTCTGTCCTGTAAAGTATCCTACAAGCATCTCACATTGGCAATTTGGGGATGTTTTATTGGTTCATCGAACACACCAGTCGTGACGAAATAATGCATATTCAACCAATGATCAATAAAAAAAATTCTTCCTGTAGGTAGAAACTGTAAGAGGCATTGATCCGCGTAACAATCCGTGTTTATTTTCAAGAATACAACTTTTGTCAGTAAAATACAACTTTTGACACTAAAGAATGCAGTTTTTGAACTCCAGAGGTTGGCAGGTCTGCATTTCAACAAATACTGCAGGGATACCAGTCTTCCTAACAAATACCTATGATGATTCACTGTTCTGTAACAGGTGAAACAAGGCGTCTGCTGAACTACCGTCCCATCTACGACTGGAACTGCTTCAGCAATCACCTCCTCACGGTAGCTCCCAGTCACTATAACATCTCCTCTGTCCCTCCCCTCTCCTGCCCCACCCCATGCCATCAGCACACCACCTGCGGGGATTGTTTGACCTCACAGGGGTCGGACGGGGGCTGGCAGGAGTGCATGTGGAGCCCTTGGCTAAACCAGGTAAGACAACACGTCTTCATTATCTCTCTTATTGATTCAAATTTATTCCATTTCATATCAATTGTTTGTCCAATAAAGGTTAGTGGACAAAGTAAGTTCAAAATTATGAAATGAAACAGGAACTTGATTTTTGTAGGTTCCCAAGGAGAAGGGGAAGTCCACCTTGATATTCAGCTGTTTTTGAAGGACTATTTTGAAGGAATATATTTGCTTTTTTACTGAGGTTGTGTTAAAACATTTTTGCAGTGATTATACGTAGAATGGGTGCACATGTATCATTGAAAAGTTGTCTTTAGAAGATAATTCACCATTAGTTTACAGCAGTAAACTTTTATGAATCTTGACAACTCGCGAAAGTTTATGGTGTACCAGTAGTCGTCCATGAGATCATGAAACACAATTTACTCCGTACAAATTACCAATCTCTCTTACTTTCCTCCAGTGCATGTCGCCGACGTTCCTGCACCTACGCTGCGCCGTGGGCGAGTGTGGACCGGTAGCCCAGGGGGCCTCGGACAACTGCCCCACCCAGTGCTTCGCCAACACCCAGTGTTCTCACTGCCTCCACCAGGCGTGGTGTGGATGGTGTCCCGTGCCCGGTGTCAACGGGTCGGGTATCTGCCTGTCTGGAGGGCTGCTGGGTCCGATCGATGGCGTGTGCTCGAGCCAGGAGATCAGCTCCATCCATGGCCCTCTGCCTCGTAAGTCTCTGTCTCATTTCCCAATCTCATTCCCTGATCTCATTCTCTCCTTTCCTCTCTTTCTCACTAGCTCTTGGTCTTTTCCTTTCAGTGACACAAACAAAAGACACATAGAACAGACCCGGCAAAGGACAAAATTGTCCAATAATTCATCATTAATTTCTCAAATTAACTACAAAGGGATTTAACACTTACAATTAAAAAAAAAAAAATCGTTTATGTGATATTTTTCTTCCACCTGAATACTGGTCCCTATTTTGCTGTTCTTCACTTCAGTCTCTCTGTAATGTTATGCCCACAGAACCCTTTTTTTTTGGGGGGGGGGGGGCGGGGGTGGTGGTGTCCACTTAAACATAAACTTTGTAATTTTCCCTTTTGTATATCAGCTATTGAGAAATATTCACCATCATTTGAGCACCATCAGAAGTTTCTTTAGGACTCCCTTTACAAGGAATGCTGGCTTGGGAAGTTTTTAAAAGTTGTTTCTTGGTTAACTTGTTGTGGTCTAGTGGATAAGTCACCCGATTGCCGATCACAAGGTACAGGGTTCAAGTCCCGCCGCGACACTTATGTCCTTTGGCATAACGTAATCTACATTTGCCACTCTCCACCCAGGTGTAAATGGGTCCCTTATATGCTTGAGCTATAGTTACTTAGGCAGCTCGGCTACAACCAGGGTAATATGTGTAAAGCGCCATGAGAGTCAGAGCCTGGCGGATACCGGCGCTACATAAATATCCATATTATTTTTTATTATAAACAAATATATATGTTTTTGCTCTCTGCAGCTGCCGTTGCTAATGCCACCATGGGGGGCATCTCTGGAACGCCGCAGTGGAAGTACCTCACATGTCCTCCAGAGGATGAATGCGTGAACGGAAACCATGATTGCGGGGAGAACGAGGATTGTACCGATACATACACATCATTTGAATGCAACTGCAAGGCCGGATACGAGAGGGAAAGGTAAGTGTATTGATGATGATGGTGGTAATGATGGTGATGGTGGTGGTGATAGTGGTGATGTTGATGAGAATGAATGCGTAAACGGATATTGCGGGGAGAACGAGGACTGTACTGATACATACACATCGTTTGAATGCAACTGCAAGGCACGATATGAAAGAGAAAGGTAAGCACTTTGATGATGATGATGATGGTGATGATGTTGGTGTCGGTGGTGATGGTGGTGGTGGTGAAGGTGGTGGGGGTGGTGATGAATGTGATCGTGATGGTAATCATAGTTGTGGTGATGCCGTGGTGGTCATGATGATGATAATTACGGTCGTGATGATGACAATTACGGTCGTGATGATGATAGTTATGATGAAAGTGAAGATGATAGTGATGATAAAATGGTGATGATTATGGTGGTGATGATGATGATGATGATGATGACGACGACGATGATGATGATGATGATGATGATGATGAAGACAGTTATGGTGATATTGATGATGGTGGTGACGATTATGATTAGGGTGATGATGATAATTATGATTATGGCGATGATTTTGATGATGATTATTATTACAGGATGATGGTGGTGGTGATGACAATATTTATGATTATGGCGATGATTTTGATGATGTTTATTATTACAGGATGATGACGATATCTATGATTATGGCGATGATTTTGATGATGTTTATTATTACAGGATGATGGTCGTGGTGATGATGTTAATTATGATTATGGTAATGATTTTGATGACGGTGGTGGTGGTGGTGGTGATGATGATGATGATGAATATGATTATGATTATGGCGATGATGATAATTATGATTATGGTGATGATTTTGAAGATGTTTATTATTATGGCATAATTGTGGTGGTGATGATAATAACTATGATCATGGTGATAATAATGATCTTATGAATTATTTGAATTTCTTTTTATCAGTGGGGATGGCCCCTGCAAGCCAGTCTGCACCCAGATGTGTGGTGAGCACGGTGTGTGCGTAGCCCCTGAACAGTGCGAGTGCTTCTTTGGATACGTGGGACACAACTGCAGCACAGAGTGTCTCTGTAATGGTCACAGTAACTGCCTCAGTGAGAGCGCCAAGGCCGTCTGTCTGGAGTGCCGTAATAATACCATGGTGAGTTAAAGGTTGATTTAATATTTGTCCCATTTTGCTTTTAAAGTCACTATAATAATCAAGTGTCCATTAAATACGCAATTCAGAATTTTCTGATTTTATCCAATCCATATTTGTTTTTCTTCTTGTTTTTTTAATTCTTTCCCTTTTTCTTCTTCAGATTTGTTTTCATTTTCTTTTTCTCTTTCTTCTTCTTCTTCTTCCTCTTCTTCTTCTCTCTCTCCCTCTTCTTCTCTTCCTCCTCCTCCTCCTTCTCCTTTCACGTCCTCCTTCTCCCTCTTGTTCTTTCTCCTCCCTCCCCTCTTCTTCTTTCTCCTCCCTCCCCTCTTTTCTTCCTCTTCCTCTTCTTCTTTTTCCTCTTCCTCTTTCCCCCCTTCTCCTCCTCCTCTTTCTCCCTCTTGTTCTTTCTCCTCCCCTCCACTCTTATGCATCTTCCTCTTCTTCTTCTTCTTCTTCTCCTTCCTTCTCAGTACATCATTATCATCATCATCATCATCATAACTATTATTATCTTGCATTCCTGTTTTTATGCACATTTTATGTAAACATTGCGTTATTGGTCCTTGGACTACTACATCGTACATTGAATATTTTGAAATTAATTACCAAATTTGAATTGAATTGAATTGAATTTCTCCTTGTGCAGGGTGAGCATTGTGAGCATTGCCTGCCGTTGTTTGTTGGTAACCCAGAAGACGGTGGTTCCTGTACACCCTGCATAGAGCACTGCAATGGCAACACCAATCAATGTCTCTCAGTGCAACAGTATCAGGAGTATCGCAGCGAGTATCCGACAAGGCCAATCCACAATGTAAGTATTCTTTGTTGCTGTTGTTACGTTGCTCTTGTTTCAAGGTCTTGTACAATATTTACCGAGACTCATCACATTTCTTTTATTAGGATGATGAAGACAAAGTGTATAGTAGTACAGTAAAAGATGCTTTAGTGACCACCTGTCTACAAAGACCACATTTTTTGGTTTCCATTGAAAATGGTTTCTTATTGAAACATGCACTTCTCAAGGGGAAATTGAAAACAGGAACAGTATTCTTTGAATTCTACATGTATCACAACATTTTAAAGGATTATGTTTAAGAATTGAAGTTTTTAAACATTTGCGATGGCTGAAAATTTCTGAGGTAAATATTCATCAAAAGATCAAAATTTTAATTCTCAAACACAGCAACAATTTAGTAAATATTTCTCTCTTTCTTTCAATGGTTTCCTACTGGGCCTCAGATATCACAGCTCTTTAACAGTGGTCCCCTGACAGACGATGTCTTCTGTATCGGCTGCAGTAACTTCAGCGAGGGAGAACGCTGTGAGTCGTGCATAGACAGCTACTTCAAACTGGAGGAACACTGCCAGAAGTAAGTAGAAATATGTCAAAGTTCAAAGGTCGAAGTTGGGCATGCTTTACCCTTACAACCAGAATAAGCTGTATTCTTAAAGAGAAGTCACTCCCGAGCCCTGTCTTACAAAAAGTTGCGATAGATCCAAATCAATCGCAAGTTTGCAGTCTCCTATCTCTTATGTACAAAGTTGCGATTGATATTAATCTCAAATGAGTTGCGATTGATATCAACTCTTTGTAAGATGGGGCCCTGGGCTCAGTCTTATATAGAGTTGCGATTTCTATCGATCACATATATCTATGTACATGAGAGATAGGAGACTGTAAAGTTGCGATTTTGGAGGACTTGCAATTGATTTAGATCGGTTGCAAGTCATTATAAGACAGGAGCCCTGGTCAAGATGAAAAATAATCTTTGTGGTTTCTCATTCTTTCATTTGTTAGTTTTGAAGAATATGATAGTAGAAATCTCCAGTTGAAAAGGATGGCTCTTCAAATGCCTTCTTACTTGAAATATGACAAGAAAGCTGAAAATGTTGGTTCAGACTTTCATGCCACATGTGTGTGTAGTCCCTATATCCACTTCTTTGAGCAGTGCATGTGAGTTTCAGCAATACTAAATGAATTCCTTTATATTTAATGCTTCTGAAACCTCACACATCCAGACACTTTCTTTCGAATTGCATGACAAGTCTTCAACTTTATTTTTGAAAGGGGAATAACACCCTGATATTAAGTCTGTTTTTAATAGAAACAGAAAAATGAGAGGAACAGGCCAGTGAAAGTTGGAGTAAAATACCAATTAAAATTAAGAATGTTACAAATTTTTGAAGTTGTGATCAATAAAACATAAATTGGCAACTCTTTGAGCTCCCCTCCCTTTTGCTCTGTACTAAAAAAGATCAGAAATTGTCCATTTTCTTAGTTATCTCAGTATATGTAAGTGTATTGTATAAGTAAGCATACAACAAATTGTATAACATAAAGTTTTTTTGTTTGATTTGTTAGGTGTGACTGCAATGGCCATGGAGATATGTGTGAGAAGACCAGTGGAGGATGCAAAGAGTGTCTGAATAACACCATGTCGCCCCAGTGCCCCTCCGATAAATACCCAGAGCCATGCTGGGAACATCAGGTAAGATACTGACATTGACATTGACCTTCAGGGTGATGCCATGAAGGTCATTGTCAAGGACAGTCATGAAAGTCAGTGGCAATGTCATTTGAAGTGATATGGTCAATGGTAGAGTATTGGAATTGTGTGTCAGCACAAATCTCACATTAGTGTCCCTCCGATAAATACCCAAAGCCATGCTGGGAGCATCAGGTATGATACTGACATTGACATTGACCTTCAGGGTGATGCCATGAAGGTCATTGTCAAGGTCAGTCATGAAAGTCATTGGCAATGACATTCAAGTGATGTGGCGATTAGTGGCAAAATTATGTGTTGAGATACCATCTCTCCTCAGTGTCCCTCTGATAAATACCCAGAGCCAGTTTTGAGCATTGGGTAATGTCCCAACAATGACATTGACCTTGACCACGACCTCCAGACTTGCATCAAGAAGGTCATTGTCAATGTCATTGAAATGATATGGTCAATGGTAGAGTATTGGAATTTTATGTTGGCACAAATCTCACATAAGTGCCCCTCTGATAAATACCCAGAGCCACTTTGGTGCATCAGGTCATGTCCCAATGCTGTCAATGATATTGACTTTTAGGTCAATATATCAAGAAGGTCATTGTCAATGTCATTGAAATAATTTGGTCAATGGTAGAGTATTGGAATTGTGTGTCAGGACACCACCTCACCTCATACTTGGGTAGCACCATGCAAATTCTCTTTTACCGTATACACCACATGTTAAAGGGAGTCACTCGTCAGTTTCCATGTGCAGAAGGCCATAATTCGCTGACACCAGACATGGTTGATAAAAATCATTATGTACAGGTAATACATTGTAGGTCTGCACACAGCGAACCCGTAGGCCAATCAAGAAATACCCCCTTATCTTTCGGATCTTCGGGCAAGGGAAAAGTGAGATAATGACTTTACCATGTGGGGGAATGGGTGGAAATGCAGTACGTTACACAAGGCCTGCTGGCCATAAAACTGGAGGTCAATTCTGGTGCTTGACAGCACCTCTTATTGGGTAAACACCCGAATGGTGTTAAATTCCCCATGAGAGCTAACTACTGAGTGTCTTTAATGTATTGCCTTTCATGATTTCTTGCAGTGTTCGCAATGCCTGAATGATCTGTTCAAAGGCACACCCACTGACAGTCACCAATGTTACAGACAGATGCACGTTGATAATGATATCTGCTTCAACCCAGAGAGTCAAGATGGTATGTACTTCGTCACAGCCTACTTTTTCTCTCTTTCTGTTTTCCTTATCATTTATCCTCTCTTTTAACTAAATTGTATTGCTTGAACTTTCATTTGTGTTCATTTAAAACTATATTACATGGGATACCTTGTCCACAGGCCCCCAGAACTTTGAAGATTTGATACTATTTTCTGAATGTTTTTCATAATCGTTGATTTTTGATTCATTGATAGTTTATCAATATTCACATTTTTCATGATTAAACTGAAAAAAATTACTCTATATTAGTGCATCCACTCAAAAACATATTACTATCAATATAACTTGGATGCTGGTGTGAGGAAATTAGATTTTTAGGGGGAAACTTGGATATTTATATTATCAATATATAGAAAACAATAAGTGGATAGTGGGTCACAGACTCATGAGTGAGTTGCCAACTTGTCTTGTGATTTTCAAAGTTTTTCATGTCATTAAAAATTCCTGACTTTCTTATTAGTTATCCAAGTTTTCTCAAATTTTGTTTGGTTGGTTTGTCTGATTGTTGTGCTTCTAAATAATTTTTTTTTGCAGTGTCCTTCAGAGAAATAAATTTCACTACAATGCTTACAAAATTAAGAACTTACCAAAACCTTTTCTCTTTGTTGTAGATTGTCCAATCAATCCTGTACCCCTACCAGATGGTGCCTCGTCTTTCTTCGTCATCATGCCCAAGTACTCAGACCTTGATATCAGGTTGACGGTCGATATTACATATGGCTCCCTCAACGTTTACGTCACGTATGACTCGGACGTCTTCATCGTGGAATACGACGAAGAAACCCAGCAGCAGATCATCAGGATCGATGAAAACTACGTCAGCGCGTCAATGCAACGCAAGAGGAGATCGATTCGAGAGTTCTACGCACCAAGCAGGGGGCGGCGATCATCGAACTCGTCAATCTCCACGACCATAGACCCTGACCAAAGCGAACTGACGGAAATCGAGTCCCACGGTCTGAACACGTTCATCAGTATAGATGAGGAGCATTTCATCACACTGGTTCAAGACTTGCAGAACAGACTCGTCATCACGTTCCCGCGGCGATACCACACCCTGACGTCGCGCCGCTTCTACATCGCCCTCATGGGGCGGGGCGTGGAGGACCTGAATGCGACCCAGGGCATCATGTACTTCCGTCAGGACCAGCCTCACATCGATCTCTTCATCTTCTTCTCCGTCTTCCTCTCGTGTTTTTTCCTCTTCCTGGCGTTCCTGATCGGGATCTGGAAGGTGAAGGTGGGCGTTGAGGCGCGGCAGCACAGACGCATGCACCTGCTGGAGATGGAGCACAGGGCGAGCCGACCGTTCGGGCAGGTGCTACTCTACTACGAGAGCCCCAGCATCCAGACCCATCCGGCACCCACGGGGACCACCAAGAGCTACTCCCTGCCCAAGAAGCACCACAGACTTGGCAGGATGAGGGCAAAGGCCGAGACCATGGGAGGGGGAGGAGCGGCGAACAGGGACACGGAGGAAACTGCTCTAAACTCTGCTGAAATCATTAATGTAAGTACAATGCTAATTTTACGAAAGTCAAGCTAATCTTGAGCTCTGATATGGGCATTGTATGTCGAGAGAACATGGCTATAATTCTTTCTGGATTGTTTATACTGCAGTAGACTGAATGTTTGACCAGTATAATATTTTTTAAAAACTCACCAAAACTCGCTGGAAATCATCTTCAATAAAAACCACAACTCTCATTTGCACATAGTGACCTGTGTTAAGCACATGGTGTCGGGCCTACTTGTTTTGATTCCCTTGTCTTTCTATGCTCATTACTTGGCCACTATAGTAGTTGTTGTGGGAGTAGTAGTTGTTGTCATTGTAGTAGTGGTAGTTGTAGTAGTAGTCATTTTAGTAGTAGTAGTAGTAGTAGTAGTAGCAATACATTTAGTAGTAATCTATAGGAAGTATTAGCAGTAATATCATAAATCATTATGATCATCATATTCATGATTATTTCCTCTCTCTAATCCATGCCAAACAGGAGAGATTCACACCGGGTCTCATCGCCTCCGAGCCGACAGACGATGGAATGGCCACCGTAGGTACCGTCGTCTTTGCACTACCCGGCCAAATGAGGGCGCCAGTCAGAGCATGTCTCGGGTCGGCCCTGGTCACGCTTAAGACCGTGGCGAAGCAGACGCAAGATACGCAGAACACGACCAGGCAACAGAGGCAGGGCAAGAACCTAAAGTCAAGTATTTTGTGCAACACAAATAACAGAAGATAGTAAAGCATATTATATATATATATATATATATAATGCAGTATTTTGTACTACGTGCATAATGTAAAACATCTACAAAGAATTGAAAGGATATTAACTCACTCTGTAGGCATGGCTTGGAGGCCTCCCTGCTCTTGACAAATCAAAAGATGTAATGGAAATATGCACCGTTTAAAACGTTTAACTGCCCAGCACCTTTGTAGAGCAAAGGGGATTCATACAGAAATATAAAACCTAGAAGTGACGTTTGTGTATACCGGTAGTGAGATAAGGGTCCTTGAAAAAGGGACAGAATATGGAGCAATCCAAAACACTTGAGCTACTTTTATCACCATTTTGAAAGACCCCAGGGCCCCGTCTTATAAAGAGTTGGGATCGTTTCGAAATCAATCGCAAGTCCTCTAATCAATCGCAAGTTTGCAGTCACCTATCTCTTATGTACATAGTTGCGATTGATATCAATCTCAAATAAGTTACGATTAATACCTACTCTTTATAAGACTGGCCCTGGCCTCGTAATCCAGTTCAATTCATGTTGGTGTTCAGGTCATGGTATGTTATGGGGTCATTCAAAACAGTTAAGTCTGAATGATATTCATATATGTTAGTGGCAGAGTGTATAATGTAGACAGGATATTGATAAAAATCAATGAAATTGGGGAAATACCCATCAGAAGTAGTGTATATTATAGTAATTCAATGTGTTTTGATGCATACAAAACCCCACTATTCAAATCGTGATGCACAAATCATTTTTATAGGTACCTTTCCTGGGGGGGGGGGGGGGGGGGGGTGTTTCTCAAAGATCCAAAGTTGGACTTATATCTAAGTTGGACTTAACAATTATGGAAAGCCGTTAGCATCTTTGTTGATTCAAATTATTTGTATTTTCTATTATCAAGGAGATTTCATGTTCTTGATGTGGAATTTATGAAAAGTCTAAAATACTTGAAATTTTGCTTTTTAATATATTTTATTTTAAGGCTACAAATGGCTCTCCATAATGTTTAAGTCCAACTTAGAGTTAAGTTCGACTTAGGATCTTTGTGAAACACCCCCCTGAAAGAACAGAGACCCATGTTGATCATGGAGATTCTCTTTTCTTCAGGTCAAGAGTACAAACAAAGTTAGTCTTGTAGATGGAATATTTTTGTATTCATAGCAGAGATATGTATGTAGAGATCATATCAGAGACAATATGAGATTTATCTCCATAATAATTCAATATATTAAATAGGGTATTTATCAGTGAGTATCCTATTGGCTGAAAGGGTGTCACATGACACTTAACAATTTGTTATATGTGCATGAGCGCGCAAAATATTTTTTTTTGCATGTTAAAACGAGTACGAAAGTGAATACGACTGCCTATCTCTCGTCCCTCTACTTACCCAATTTATGCATCGTCTTAGCTGTGCGCGTTTGAGGTTGACGTTAAGGCAAGTAATCGAGAGAGACGGACTCTCAAAGAGTTTTGTTTATTCTACTGGTTGCTTTATGACACATAGGGTATTGTTGATAAGTTAGTAAATTAGATGAAGCCTGTATTCAAAGGCCACCTTAGGCAGGTGGCCTTTCTAGGCAGGTTCTAAATCACGCATTTCATCTCAGAGGGACACATTAAAGGTGTCCCTTATAGGCAGGTGGTCTTTATAGAGAGGTGCCCACTTAGAAAGGTTTGACTGTATTGTATTAAGAGCCGAGAGGGTATCAACTCTGGGTTAAATGAAACCTTTGTAAATCACAAGATGCAAGTTTGAAAATATCACATTTTTAAAGTTTAGTTTTAATCAGTTAATTGAAGTTACTGCCAATTCGATTGCTTTGGAAACAAAGTTCTGATCATCATTAGTAAGTAGTGAAGAGGTTTCTTCAATCTAATTATCCCGACGTAGATATAGTTTGTCATGCACAGGAGATCATTCATTATATTGTATTATCTTTCTTTTTATTTGACATCTGAACGAATCGTGTTTGATCAATTCAGCATTAGGTGTAAAGTGCAGATGCTTGCAGAAAAGCTATACATATTTTTTATTCAGGTATTTGGTATATGGTTTGAGACAGGTCCAGTGCCAGCGACAGGGCACTTGTATATTGATGTGCATATTATATTTTATACAAACTACTGCAGAATGATAATGAACACCCCCTGTATACTTTGTACATATGTAAGATATCGACTGAATTCCAGAAGAAATGAACAAGATTGAGATTCCAGATGTTAATACGCACTCAGTTCAAATGTGTGCTGAAATTGTTGTATGAGGAGTGTACAGAAAGTGTGTGTTTTGGTGATTAATTGCATGCATAGCTAAAATACATGCTACAAACTAGTGTAGTGGTTACTGTGAGGAGTAGAAAACTGAAAATGTGTATGACTGCTTAATGGCTGGTATTCAAAGACATGATGATATTATCTTTTTGTTATATATCTGTTAATGTTAGCCTCCAGAATCACTTATTTCATGCCCAATTTTCGCCTAGGACAGGCAAATTTTACCCTTTTTTGGACCAAAAACCTACAGAAACTAATTGTGAGAGCTGATGAATATAATAACAACAAAAATGATAATTACCCCAAAAACAATACAAAGACAATTCTCAGCCTTCTTTGTTTTAGGGATTAAGGAGGAAGTTTGACTGTGTTCTGTAATTGTTTTATTTTATTTTTATCATCCTTAATTACTTTTATGATTCTTAACAATTAACCCACTGAATGCTGGGTAACACTTTTAGCTTCCTTTTTTCTGTTAATTCACTACTTTTCTTGGTGGTGGGTCCTCTTCAAAGAGTAGGGTTCATTTCAGACATTTTTTTTAAAAATCATTGATTGCTGTTGACCATAGCCACTATGTTGCACAACCCCACCTAATTTAATGACAACTTGAAGGAATAATTCATGGTCTTCGTTTGTGGTAGAAATAGACTTTACAATACAAGATAAGGTCAAAAAAAAAAAAAATACTAACTTTATCTTTTTGAGGACATAATTTTTTTAATATTTTCATTTTTTGTTGATTTTCTAATTCTTTTTAATTCCTAAAGGCTGAAAATTGCTTCATTATAATGTAAAGATTTGTATGAAATCGTGGCTTCTTTCTCCCTCACATTACTACTTTTTGTATTGGTAGTCCACACAGTCTCTTCAAAATTATTAATCTTTCTTCAATTAAAGTATTTAGGTGTTAGTTTGAAGTACAGAGTAATATGATAATTTAAATTATGAACATCATTCGAGTAGTCGATTATGATAGGAACCTACACTTTTGCAATTGAAGGGAATCATGCTTTTTCATTACATTGCTAGTATGTTACATAGTTAGACAAACACCGCTTTGATACAGTTGATGTAACCTCGATTGGTTTTGCTAAGCTTTATTCTGGCACAAAGTAAATCATGCAGCTATTATTACACGTCCATCTAGAATAATGTACATATCATGTTATACTCAGTGTAACTTTACAGTGTTAGATAAAAAAAACCTGTATGACCTTTAACCTTCAACAGGCACTTCTTCTTTTACCATATATACCTGTAGGTATATCAACATTTGATATTACAACCAAGGAACTTTTCTGTCATTAGTTAAATAATATCCACATTTGCCTTTGAAAAGGTTGATTAAAATATGTGTGCCAGAGAAGAATGTACATCTATTCTTTACAAATGTAGTGTTCATGTAGCTGGCCAATTCGAATATAATTTGCCTGTTCACCAGATGTAGGACTTTTGTGTCATTTTATGGAGCATGTAGTTTGGACATGTACGGTAAGAAGAAATACAGCAGGCATGCATGTCTCTGTAACATTGCTTGCTGTAAAGTGTTAATAATGGAAATTGCCAGTACAGCACTATCGGTTCGGTTGAAGCTCACTTGCATGTATTGTAAATGGACGTCTCCAATACTGTTATTATTTTGTGGATGTGATGATTTTATGAGATAATTTTTTTTAAATTTCTTAATTGTTGTGTGATTTTAGAGTTTGTTTTCTGTTATTATTGAGAAGAGATCTATATTTTCTATTCATTTTATTAAATGCATTTGAAATCCATTGATTATGTACATGTATATGACTTGATATCAATCCTTTGTTTTGCAATTCTTTGTCTAATTTTAATAAAACATCTCTGACATTGAAGATTGATTTGTTTGTCACTTTTGTCGGTCAACAGCGTAATAGATTTTGCACCAGCATGCAGCAAGGACTTGAAAGGAGAAAGACGTAAAAAAGCAGAGTTAGGGACAACGGACAGATTTTAGAGGTGGGAAGTTAAAGAGAGATAGAGAGAGAGGGGGAGGGAGAGAGAGAGAGAGGGGGGGGGGCAGCTAGAGAGAGAGAGAGAGGAGACATAGTGAGAGAGGAGGGGGAGAGAGAGAGAGAAAGAGAGGAGACATAGTGAGAGAGAGAGAGAAAAAATAGAGAGAGAAGATACGTATGGTGAGAGAAAGATCGAGAGAGAGAGAGAGAGAGAGAGAGAGAGAAAAGAGGCAAGATATATAATACAAACAGTTGCATGGTACCACTTTTTACTAACAATTTTGAGAATATCTACTTTGAAAATAAATTTGTTGGAAATTTGCCTATCTTTTGTCAATATTTTCACAATTTCGCACCCAATTCCAAAGAAAATATCGACTCTGGTTAATTTTATGTTCCTCTTTCCTGATTTTTTGAAATAGCGAACTATGGTCACATTTCTATACAGTAGATGCGCGAACTATAGGCCGGTCGGCGACGGTAAACCAGCCCGATTGGATTCTTACGGGCCAGAATCGCCTTCGCGCTCTGTGAGCTAGCTGAGCCGATTTGTGTAGTTCAGCAGTGCATAGGGAATTTAATAGTAGTAGAATTCAGTGAGCAAAGGGCCGGGTGCACGCGCGTCTTTACGTGGCCGTCCATCTTGAATTTAACACAGTAGCTTATACAGCACGGAAATTAGAGCACACGGAGCGAAAGAGCCGGGAAATGCACAGAAATACAAATCTTTGGAAGTTTGTTGCATGAAATGTAAGTATTCACTGGTATATGTACTCAAGCATGGAAAGCTCTATTAAAAAACAAAAACTGTGTTTTTCATTGCGAAATTAACTCCTGTACGAACGGAACGTAGGCCTACATGTTGTTATGTTTGCTGTGACTGTGTGAGTGTGATGTGCACAAGATAAGATCACCAATGCAATGCAATTAACTCTGACTCGACTCCGATCGAGATCCGGCGAGGCCTGGTGGCCGCGCCGGGGTCAGTCGGCGCTCGCCAACGATTTTTTTGGGTTTTTTGTTTTGTTTTGTTTTGTTTTGTGTCTTCCCCCCACTTTTTTGGTTGGGGGCGAGTGTCCCCCCCCCCCCCCCACTTCCGGCTCCTATGATCTTAGACTACCAGGGATGAAGAACCCCCCCCCCCTCCCCCCCCCCCCCAAAAAAAAATAAATAAAAAATAAATAAATAAATAAATAGGTCTAGAGGTCTAGTCTAAATAAAAAAAATAGGTCTAAATAAATAAATAAATAAATAAATAAATAAATAAATAGAAAAAAAATAATAATAAAAAAAAAATAATAAAAAAAAAAAAAATAATAATAGACCTAGTCTAGAGTCTAGATTTCTAGTTCTAATAAATAAAAGAAATAAAAATAGGTCTAAATAAATAAATAAAAATTAAAACAAATAAATAAATAAAACATTAAAAAAAATTTTTTTTTTAAATTCAAAGAAATTGGACTGAATATAATTACCTAAAATATGTAACAAAACTTTGTTGTTTTATTCAATGTCTTATTAAACCAAGTGTGTACATGTTGCATATTAATTCATGATTATAGGGGTCTATTCAGCATGTTACCATTTTTGTTTAAGTAGATCTGTGAGGATGCCTCGTAGACCCAAGACTTGGGAGGCACAGGACATAGTGGCGGCTTTACAGAGCATCAAAGCCAACGGACTCTCGTTGAGGGCAGCAGCCAAGATGTATGGCATACCAACGAGCACTCTGCGGGACAAGTTCCACGGCAAGAGAGCCATCTTTGCCCGGTGCGGACCCTCCCCATTCCTGACCGCAGAAGAGGAGCAGAAGATAGTCAATTGGGCAATCAAGATGGGAAACGTTGGGCTCAAGCAGACTCGAATTGATATTCAAAATGTGAGATGTATGTATGTGTAAAGGAAACTTTGTAAAGCTAAATTAGATCCGGGGGGTGTTTCATAAAGCTGTTTGTAAAGTTATGCATGACTTTATTAACGACTTGAATATGAACAAAGTGCCAGATAGGATGCCCAAAGTTTTGCCTTACGTTTTCACAAAGTGTGACTATATTTCCAATAATCTCAACTAAATTATGGCCAAAAATATTCTTTGTATTAAAATTGTTTGTTATGATAAGAATGTTGATCTACATCTGCACAGTTCAACTTAAGGTGTTGCAGTTAAAAAATGATTGAGCATTCCATTTGGCTTTTCATATATACCGATAAGTCATTTGTAAGGTCATGCATAACTTTACGAACAGCTTCATGAAACGCCCCCCTGGGCCCTGTCTTAAAAAGAGTTTTTGGGAATTGATATCAATTAATGAACAAATGAATGTACATACATAAGAGAAAGCAGACTGCAAACTTGTGATTGATTGGAGCTAGACTTGTATTTGATTTGATTTGATTTATTTATTTCTGTTTGATTTTCTTTTTCTTTTGCATTTTTACAAATATATAACAAACAAAACATTGCAAATTTTACACATTTCAAAAGAATATAATGTCAAACGAAGTAACTAATTGAAAACATCAAACAGGAGGGTTGACAAAGTAAGCAAAGCTTGATAGCATGACTACCCTCAATGGATACATAATAATACTAATATGGTGGAACAAATATTGGTAAAAGGGCAAAGAGAGAGAGAGAGATCGAGAGAAGGACAAAAAAGAAAGAAAGAGGGGGGTGTATATCAAGATTCACAGATGTATGTGGTACAATGTAGTTTGATTTCAATTTGATATATGAAGATAAAAAAGAGGATGCACATTTGAATATTGGGTGGCCAATTTGGATTAATCACAACTCTGTTTAAAGGGAAAGTCCACCCCCAAAATAAGTTTGTTTCGATAGAGGCAGAATAATAAGAAAATCAGGTGAGTGAAAGTTTGAGCAAATTCTGAATGAAAATAAGAAAGTTATGAATTATTGAAGTTGTGATCAATCAAATACAAATTGGCAACTCTGTGACTTATCATACAAGCTCTCCTTCATTTGCTTTGTGCATAATATTCCATAAAATCATGTTTTCTTCGTTATTGATGACGGAATATATATTTGTTCCTTGCAGGGGGAGTATAGAAACATATTTGCAAATTGCAATTATTATATTTAGGGTGCATGTATGGTTGAAATTTTTCTTGAGGGAAAATGAAAATTTTAGATTTTTTTAGTACTGAGCAAATGGAAGTTGAGCTCGCATGATACGTCATAGAGTTGCCAATTTGTGTTTGATTGATCACAACTTCAAAAATCCTAACTTCCTTATTTTTATTCGGAATTTGCTCAAACTTTCACTGACTTGTTTCTCTCATTTTTCTACTCCTATTAAAACTAACTTAATTTCAGGGTGGACTTCCCCTTTAAGACGGGGCCCAGAGGTATTATATTTCCATTAGGTGTTCTACTAAACAACTATCAGTTAAGACAACAATCAAAACATTGTATTACATATGATTTGTAAATATTTCTTGTCTTCTTTTGTATCAGCATTGCAGATTTAATATTGTAACAAGAAAGTTACTAGCAACTAAATGTATGAAATGGTGTACAATGAAGACAAAAGACAAAAACTGAACACCAAATGAAACAGTATTAAACTTGTGAATGTAAATACTTGTATTTCTAGTTTTATCTTGTATCAGCTTTGCAGAGATTTAATAATCTTTCTGGGAAGTTACCAGCAAATAATTAATGAGATTGTGTACTTTTTTAATTATAATACGAAGGAGCTGCCACATGATTCTTCTCATCATATTGATGTTCCTTGAAATAAATGTATAAGGAAATAGTGACCATGGCAGAACATAATGCCCTTAGCGTTGACTCGTGGCCATGGGTGTCGATCCGTAACTGATACCTATTCATCAGGGGGGGATGATCTATTCATTCATCCCCCCTGATGAATAGGTATTACGTAAGTATCGACACCCATGCTCGTGGCAATATATTATGATATTCCCCTCCAGGTCACCTGATATTTATATTCGTCTGGTTAATATATTTCTTTGTTTGCAGGTTGTGAAGACATTACTTGACAAGGATAGTAGAGAGCATCCCTTTGTGAACAACACGCCTGGCAGAAGATGGTGGCGAGGCTTCGTAAAGAGACACCCTAATCTAAAACATCGAAAGCATCAACTAACGGACAAGGCAAGGGTCATGGTGTCTGAAGAGAGGATTGAGACGTGGTTTAAGGAGTTTGAGGCACGTCTGCAGAAGGAGAGGGCGCTGTCCATGCTGAATGAACCCCATAGGCTGTTTGATGATGAGATAGGATCATCCATAGATGGGATACTGAATGGCTTTCCTGCGTCATCAACATCGGCACCATCAACACCAGCTCCAGTAACAGCACATCCAGCACCGTCCACACCATCACAGGCAACACCTTTGCCAGGGCCACTTCCAACAGATGTTGCCCAGACACCTCTAGGTAATGAATCCTCTGCTTCATGCTCTGAGTACTTGACCGCTCTTCCAGGCATGTCTCAGAACCAACAGAAGAAGAAAGGACTACCTCCTGCAGCCATTACAGTAGCTGAATTCTTCCGCTATATGCGTGCAAGAAGAGCAAGAGAAAACCAAGAAGAGAAGGTGGAACTGAGGAGAAAGGACAGAGAGCTCAAGGAGAGAGAAATGGGAGAAGATGAAAAACGGATAGATGAAGAGGACGAGGAAGACGAGGAGAAGGAAGAGGAGAAGGAAGAGGATGAGGAACAAGAGGATGAGGAACAAGTGGATAAGGAACAAGTGGAGGTAGCAGAGGCAGTGATGTTGTTACAGGAGGAAGGAGAAAGACTGGCTGAAGACATCATGGTTACATGTACTGAAATGGGACAAGAGATGGAAGAGAAGAAGACACAAGAGGCAGAAAGAAAAAGAAATAGTAAGAAAGTAAGCTGGGAGGTTCAGCAGAAAAATAAGGAACAAGTTATGGAGATAATGAACAGTGCACATGAACCAGACGCAGAAGAATTGAGGAAGAAGTTGAAAAGAGAGCACAAAAAGAAGGCAAAGAAATTGAAGCAAGCAAAAAGGGAAGCAAGGAAAGAGAAGAAACGAAAGGCAGCAAGCAGAAAGAAGGAAGAACATGAATATGATGCTGACGTCTTACGAAAGGATACAATTGTAGAATCAAAAGCCAAGGACAGAGCAAAGTCGAACATAAAGACCCTAAGGAACGATCAGGAAATCTATGTGTGCCCTGCGTGCTTGAAACCCAGTGGAAACGATGAAAAATGGATCAGCTGTGATCATTGTATAAGATGGTTACATCTGACCTGTACTAGTATGCATTTGTTACGAGGCATCGACCTAGCAGGCTTTGATTATAGATGCAAATTTTGTTGAAATCTCATGGCACATAATTACATTCCATATTAACTGTAATGTAATCCCTATATGCAATCCAATCCAATCAAAAAGATATTTGATATACGGTAGCGCCTTCTCCTTACAGCTAGCAGAAGAACATTAGCGCCTTGCGCTGTTATGTTAAACGCGATCACACACTATTGCATCCAGTAGGTCGTTAGCATTGAAATGCCATAACTTTTAAAAAATGTACACATGCTTATTTGATACAAAACTAGTTAAAGGTAACTAGTCCTTTTCTCTTTTTGTTATTGGGAATGCTTAAAAGTGAGTTGTCAGAAATTTGCCTTGTGACATACTCATATATGCAAACAACCCCCTGCCAACGGCATGACATGTATACTAGTATCACAATATTTGAAATTGCTGTCCTTTGTGAAGTGGTTCATTAAAATATTCTTGTAAACATATTTTCAACAATTTGTAAGTCATATGATAACGAGTTACTTTTTACTCATAAAAGCATGTTTCTACTTTGGTAACAACTTTTTTACAACATACTTCATGTTTATATGGATTTGTTGCATCCACTTATTTTAAATGTTCAATAGATTTGAATATTTTTAAAGAATTTCAGAAGGAAACTTTCTCGGTTTTTATTTTTCAAATTTTATTTTATTTAAAAATTTACCATTTAATCGTTTGGTATCCTTTAATTTGTTTTAATATATACTTTTCAATCCTTTTAAAACTTAAATGATTGGTTTAAAATATAAATTCATTTTCTAAAGTAAATATAATATTTAGATATTATGCAACTACATGTATATGTACAGACAATATCTCATGATTTATGTGTATTGCTTTGACGAAAAGAAAAGAAAATGACCCCATATTATGTAAATTAATGTGCAAACAAAATAAGTTTGTCACTCCAAGCCTTTGTACAGGGGTTAAGCAAAGTGGCAGCCGCCCCCCCCCCCCCCCCCCCCGGAGAAAAATATCATGTAAAAACACGTAATTTTTACCTTTTTTTGGGGGGGGGGGGGTGCAAAACTGCAATTTTTTAAATTTTTGAGGATAAAAAAAAAAAGAATGTGCTCACTACCCCCCCCCCCCCCTTCTGAGCGACTTTTCGGTCGGCGCAATTTTCAAATTTTCCGGAGCAAAAAAAAAGAAAAAAGTTGGGCCCCCTCCCCCAAGAAATCCTGGATCTGCGCCTGGTTAAGCAACTCTTTTATGGTGTCTTATATTTAACGGGGGTGTTTCATAAAGCCGTTCGTAAAGTGATGCACGATTTACGAATGACCTGAATATGAAGTGCCAGAGAGGATGCCCAAAGTTTTCTCTGATGTTTCCAATAACCTCAATTAAATTATGTTAAAAAATATACTTTGCATTAAAAGTGATTGTTATAATAAGAATGTTAATCTGCGTCTGCACAGTTCAACTTAAGTTGATGCAGTTAAAAATGATAGAGCATCCCATTTGGCTTTTCATATTCAAGTCGTTTGTAAAGTCATGCGTAACTTTACAAAGAGCTTTATGAAACACCCCCCAGGTGTAGGACAGACCAGGTTCCGTTTCATAAAACCTGTTATAGTTTGTTTTCTGTCATTATTGAAAAGAGATATATATTTTCTATTCATGTTTAATATGGCATTTGAAATCCATTGATAATGGTACATAATTATGTAGGCCTACTACATGTATTACTTAATATCAACTTTTCGTTTTGCAATATTCTCTGTCCAATTTTAATAAACATCTCTGACATTTAAGATTGATTTGTTAGTCGCTTTTGTCAGTCATTAGAGTAATGGCTTTTGCACCAGTAGCAAGAAATTGAAAGGAGAATGACGGGAAAAAGCGGAGTTAGGGACACTAGACACCAGACAGATTTTAGAGGTGGGAAGTAAGAGACAGAGAGAGAGAGAGAGAGAGGAGAGAGAGTCTTGGTTTGGTTTAGTTTTATTTGCTGTATAGAAATTCAAATACATACAAGATTACAATTTACAAATATAACACAAATCAATAATTCAAAACGGCTGGAATGCTCTATTCAGAGCCATAGTGAGAGAGAAAGAGAGAGAAAGAGAGAGAGAGAGAGAAACAGAGAAATACTAAATAGGGCTGGAAAGATGGGGAGATTGAGGGGGGGGGGGGGGGGGGAGGTCGTGGCAGCTAAGATAACAGAAAAAATGGTGATTACAATATGTGAATGACAGGAGTATTGTTTTAATTTTCATGTCAATGCATTGAAATATATAACAAATATGACATACATGTACATGTATACGTTATACTGATCAAAATCACATGTATTTTTTACATTTCTTACAGTTTACTTCCAAAGCAACTCAACTCCTGTTAAAGATAAAGACCAGTTATATGCGATTGCATTGTGAAAGAAACGTTGTGGAATGGATCAGAAAAGGTTGATCATCTAGCATATAAGTATTGGTGTGTACTGCAAGGTTCTGGAATCATCAAAATGATAAGAAATTTGGCCCAGTCTTCATTAAGTTACAAGCACTGTACACAGAAAGATGTATATGGGACTACTCACACGTGCGCGACATGTGCATTTAATTGTATCTCTCAACAGTATATAGATATACTAATTTACCAAATATTTCAATTAGTACATGTAGGCGGTTTCCCGGCAAATTTGTTATCATCATGTATTAGTCAAAACATATTCTTTCACATGATTGGTAATAAGAGCTTCCATTTCATTTTTTGAAATTGGGGCGTTTCCATTACTGGTCTTTACCTTTAATAACATAGTCCAAATACATAAAAACATCTTCTCTAGGGCAGGGCCCTGAGCTGTTTCATAAAACTTGTTATCAATAAAAAGTGCCACAGATCTATGACACATCTTCTCAGAGCCAATCAAATGCAAGGATTTATGTAGCTTATAACAATCATCATATCTTGTTATTGATAACTAGCTTCATGAAACGGGGCCCTGGTCTTCCATGCCCCTGTAAATGTAAGACACTATAACAGAGTTGCTTAACTCCTGTACAAAGGCTTGGAGTGACAAACTTATATTATTTTGCACATTAATTTACATATATGAAGTCATTTTCTTCATTTTTTTCTTTTCGTCAAAACAATACCGGTACACACAAATCATGAGATATTGTCTGTACATGAAGTTGCATATCTAAAACCATAGTAGTGTCTACTATATGAAGATGAATTTACATTATAAACCAATCACTTTTAAAGGATTGAAAAGTAAACTTTTAAACAAATTAAGGAGGAATTTAAAAATAACTGCAACTGAATCGTAAAGTTTTTCAGCTGGTAACAAATGAAATTCAATTGGTATATTTGGTAAATTATCATATCGATCCGGCCTGAATAGATATCGCGTAGTTCCATATACATGTACATCTTTCTGTGTACAGTGCTCGTAACTTTACCAAGACTGGGCCAAATTTCTTGCAGTACACAATACTTATACGCTAGATGATCAACATTTTCTTATCGATTCCACAACGTTCCTTTCACAGCAATTGCAGTAGGTGGTTTCTCGGCAAAATTTGTAATTTTGTATCATCATGTATTAGTAAAAACATATTCTTTCACATGATTGGTAATAAGAGCTTCCATTTCTATTTTGAGAGGGGGGCGTTTCCAAAACTGATCTTTACCTTAATAGATTTGTATAAAATAAGCATGAATACATGTTTAAAAAGTTACGGTATTTCATTGCTAACAAGCTGTTTGATTCATGTTCGCATTTAGCAGAAGAGCGCAAGGCGCTAACTTCCTTCTGATGGCTGCATAGCGTTATATATATTACATTGCAGGAAATATGGAATGTAAGTGCTATGATGAGATTTCAACAAAATTTGCATCTATAATCAAAGCCTGTAAGGTCGATGCCTCGTAACAAATGTAAACTAGTACAGGACAGATGTAACCATCTTACACAATGATCGCAGCCAATCCATTTTTCATTGTCTCCACTGGATTTCAAACATGCAGGACAGACGTAGATTTCCTGATCGTTCCTTAGGGTCTTTATGTGTTTGCTCTGTCCTTGGCTTTTGATTCTACAAGTGTGTCCTTCCGTAGTTCGTCAGCTTCATTCTCATGTTCTTCCTTCTTTCTCGTCTTCCTGCTGGCCGCCTTTGGCTTCTTCTCTTTCGTCATTTTCCTTCTTTCCTTTTTCACTTGCTTCACTTGCTTCACTTTCTTTGCCTTCTTTTTGTTCTCTTTCAGCTGCTTCCTCAATTTTTCTGCGTCTGGTTCATGTGCATCGTTCTCATGTTCTGTCTTTGATTTCTTCTCTTTCCTTGCTTCCCTTTTTACTCGCTTCAATTTCTTTGCCTTCTTTTTGTGCTCTCTTTTCAACTTCTTCCGAATTTCTTCTGCGTCTGGTTTGTGTGCACTGTTCATTATCTCAATAACTTGATCCTTATTTTTCTGCTGAACCTCCCAGCTTACTTCCATACTTTTTCTTCTCCTTTCTGCCTCTTGTTTCTTCTTCTCTTTTCTCTCTTGTTCCATTTCAGGGGTACATGTAACCATGGAGCCTCCAGGCCATCTTTCTCCTTCTTTCCTTACCATCACTGCATCTGCTACCTCCACCTCTTCATCCATCTCCATCGAATCTTCGTCTTCTACCATTTTTTTCTCCAATAGCTCTCTGTTCTTTCTCCTTTGTTCCACCTTCTCATCTTGCTTTTCTCTCGCTCTTCTTGCACACACATAGCGGAAGAATTCAGCCACTGTAATGGCTGCAGGAGGTAGTCCCTTTTTCTTCTTATGGTTCTGAGACATGCCTGGAAGAGCAGTCAAGTACTCAGAGTATGAGGCAGAGGATTCATTACCTAGAGGTGTCTGGGCGACATCTGGTGGAAGTGGCTCTGTCAAAGGTGCTGCCAGTGATGGTGTGGACGGTGTGGACGGTGTGGATTGTGTTGTTACTGGAGCTGGTGTTGATGGTGCCGCCATCGTTGATGCAGGAAAGCCATTCAATATTCCATCTATGGATGATCCTATCTCATCATCAAACAGCCTATGGGGTTCATTCAGCATGGACAGCGCTCTCTCCTTCTGCAGACGTGCCTCAAACTCCATGAACCACATCTCGATCCTCTCTTCTGATACCATGATCGACCTGTGCCTTGTCCGTTGGTTGCTGCTTTCGATATTTTAGATTAGGGTGTCTCTTTACAAATAATCCCCACCATTTATCTCCTGGTTTGTTGTTTACAAAGGGATTCTCTCTACCATCCTTGTCAAGCAATGTCTTCACAACCTGCAAAAAAAGAAGAAATATATTAACCAGAGTACCAGATAAGTTATAACATTTACATGTATAGATACATATCAAGTGACCTGGAGGGGGATATCAGAATATATTGCCTGGGGAGTGTTTCACAAAGATCCTAAGTTAAACTTATCTCTAAGTTGGACTTAAATGTTATGGAAAGCCGTTGGCATCTATAAAAGTATTTTGTAAAAGTTATTTTAAAAGGCATAAAATGTTGATTCAAATCATGCACATTCTCTATTATCAAGGAGATTTCATGTTCTAGATGTGGAATTTATAAAAAATTGAAAATACTTGAATTTTCGCTTTTGAATATAATTTATTTTAAGGCTACAAATGGCTCTCCATAATTTTTAAGTCCAACTTAGAGTTAAGTTCAACTTAGGATCTTTGTGAAACACCCCCCTGGAGTCAACGAAAAGGGCAATATGTTCTGCCATAAGGTCACTTATTTCAAGAAGCATTAATATGATGAGATGCATCATGTTGTAGCTCCTTTGTAAAATCAAAAAGTACACATTCATTTATTTGCTAGTAACTTTCCTGAAAAATTATTAAATCCCTGCAAAGCTGATACAAGAGAAGACTTGGAAATATTTACAAATAGTCTGTACATGTATACATTTTCTTGGTATTTTGTCTTAAAGGGCAATTCAACCCTTGCAATAAGTTCAGTTGAATGAAAGCAGAAAAATCAGAAAAAAAGACGACAGTTTGAAATAAGTCGGACCACTATTATTGTTACGAGTGTTTGAAATTTGAGATCACTACAGTATATGGTAGCTATGCGAATCTCAAATTGGCAATTTTGTCAGTGGATTGTAACGTAGTGGCGGATTACTTTCCCGTTAGTCGTGTACAAAAATATTACTTATTTTAGTTTTTCTCCAAAGTGCCTTCACCCTCGGGGCACAATACTCAAAAGATGTCATGGAGAGTACATCATTATACAGGTCCTCTATTTTAAAAAGAAAAAGACCATCCGAGTCATACACATGATACATTTATGAAAAGATCACATTTTAGTCCTTTTGTGTATTAGAGCAAATGGGAAAGTTGTCCGCCACTACGTCATACAGACATTATCAAGTCAGCCAATTCAAAGGGCCTATACCTATCTAGGGATTGCAACTTCAGAAATTTGTAACTTTCAATTTTTTTGTCCGATTTCATTCAAACTTTCATCAGTATATGCTTCTTTGATTGTTCTGCTTTATTCCAGACAAGCTTTAGCTATCAAGCTTTGAATTCCCAGAGTTTATTTGATTTTCAGTAGATTACCTACCGTTAATAGAATTATAATACCTACATGTAGGCTGGGCCCCGTCTTATACAGAGTTGTGATCCAATCAATCACAGGTCCTGCTGTCTCTTATACATGTACATACATTTATTTGCGATTGATATCAATATCGCTAAAAAGTTGTGATTAATATCAACTCTTTATAAGACAGGGCCCACGCAGATCTACTGTATTAAGAAGCTTTAATACAAAGTTTCCTTTATACGTGTACATCTCACATTTTGAATATTAATCCGGCTCTGCTTAAGCCCGACGTGTTCCATCTTGATTGCCCAATTGACTATCTTCTGCTCCTCTTCCGCGGTGAGGTACGGGGGAGCGTCCGTTGCGGGCAAAGATGGCTTTCCTGCCGGAGATCTTGTCCTGCAGCGTACTGGACGCGCGTTTCCGTTTTACACCCTGCCCTAGGCTTTTCTCCAATAAAATTTTACAAACCGACTGGTATTCGGAGTCTAGTCGTCCACATCTTGCCTCGGCGCTCTGCACACCACCAGAACTCTGAAAACGTCACGTAGCGCTAGCTAACTCTCTATACTAACTAGTTGATCTTCCTAGTCGTATCATTTATTTTTATCCATTAATACGCAATACTCTAAGAGCGTGAGGATGCGTGATCAGCTCGCAAAATTTAGCCCAGCGATAACAAAACAATAATATATCGGGAAAACCGTCTTGAACAAGAAGACCCTCGCATCCCCAATTGAAATTGTACATAAGCTTTGGCTTCGCTATTCTTGACGTCGATATAAACAAACTTAGACTTCGGATACAGCATGTTTCGTGTAATTTCTTGCCGAAAAGCCTAGGGCAGGGTGTAAAACGGAAACGCGCGTACTGGACGGTATTCCATACATCTTGGCTGCTGCCCTCAACGAGAGTCCATGGGCCTTGATGCTCTGTAAAGCCGCCACTACGTCCTGTGCCTCCCAAGTCTTAGCTCCACGAGGCATCCTCACAGAGATCTACTTGAACAAAAAATGGTCACATATACAATGAATAATAATTATTATTAAAGACATTGATAAGACAACAAAGCTTTGTTACATCAACAATTAATTAGGGTAAGAGTAATTGTCTCACTCCAAGTTCTTTGTATATTCTATCATTTTTTTGGATTTATATATTTTTTTTTTGTTGGGGGGGGGGGGGGGGGGGAGGCGGGGGGGGGGGGGGTTATTTTTTTTCTTCATCCCTGATATACTTTTAGTTGCATGATCGAAAACAAGGTAATTCCGATCCCAGGGGGGTCACACAAATGCTACCCACCCGCGTCCATCAGCCTCTGAAATAGACCCTATTTTTAAAATGAACTTTTTTAAAGAAAACGTAGAAACATATGAACCTAAAAAAGTACATGTTTAATGGTTTTTTGTGCGATCAGTGCTTGAAAAACGCATCTTTTTATGGAAAAACGTCAATGACGCCCAAGTTGTGAATCTGAAAAGGTAATACCCTTTTTGTGGTTTTTATTGTGCGATCTGTGCTTGAAAAACACCCCTTTTTAATGTTGACGCCTCCGCTTTCGCTGAAAAATTAATTAAGACACCCTTTCGAAGCTTTTTACTGGACGCTATGGTGCGTTATGTTGGGAATGACTCCCCTGTGATTCCGAGTTCCTGGCCATGACAAATTAAACTACATATTTATTATAGAATATAGATCTAGTCTACACTGCCGGCCTCTTGACTAGCTACTATAGGCTAGCTCTGTAGCTAGCCTATCATAGGCGCCGGAAGTGGGGAGGCAGGGGGGGGGGGGCAGTTCCCCCCCCCCCCCAAACAAAAAAGTGTGGGGGGGGGCAAGATGCATTTTTGCCCCCCCCCCCAAAAAAAAAAAAAACAAAAAAAAACGCCCTCCCTCCCCTCCCCCTCCAGAAAAAAAAAAAAAAAGCAGTAAAGGAGTAAAGATGGTTGTATTTTTAACCAAAAGAACATAACAATAATAGAGACTTTAATTAAATCACATATAAAATTCCATTCAAAGAAAAGGAATGTTAACAGGGATTAAATTTCCTAAACATTGCGCATGCCACCTACATCAATGGAGGTTTTTATGATAGCGATACGCGCATATCGTGGGCATATTGTGAGAGAATGGGAAAGCGTGTCTATTTTTCGTTATAGGGGTGAGAAGAAATGAGCCCCTGAACAATGGCGTACTGATGGGGGGGGGGGGGTATTTCTTATTCGATACCAGTGATTTACAACTGTTGCTGAAATGTCATGATTTTCCAGTATTTGTTCTCAATTTTGTTGTAAGTCATACATTTTAATGCTTTTGTTTGAAAATTAGAAATTCCCAAATTTACAGTCGGGCGAAAAATATGCTTATTTAGAAGCCTTGGTCATGTCATGGTCTGAGCCCCCTCACTTTTTGAAAAAGTATGTTACAGAGAAAAAGAAAGGAAGAGAGAGAGAAAAAATAAGTGACCTGCCAATGTCACAAATGAGGTATCAAAATATGCTCATCTGACCATAATTAAATGCCTAAAACCCCCGAGCTTCCGGGGGCTCTGCCCCCTGGACCCCACCAAGGGCCTGGAGGCGGCCCCTGCATGGTTGCTCATCTGACAGTATAATTAATACCTAACACCCCTGCCTAACATGTAGAGGCCCTGGCCTGTACGCTCATCTGACCATAGTTAAATATTAAAACCTCTGAGCTTCCGGGGGCCTTGCCCCCTGGACCACATCTATGGCCTTAAAGAGGGCCCCTGGATGCTCGATCATCTAACCGTAATTAACCAAAACCCCTGAGCTTCCGGGGGCTCTGTCCCCTGGAACCCTACCAAGGGCCCTAAGGCGGCCCCTCGATGCTCATCTGACCGTAATTAAATACCTAAAACCCCTGAGCTTCCGTGGGCTCTGCCCCCTGGACCCCACAAAGGGCCCTACAGCGGCCCCTGTATGCTCATCTGACCGTAGTTAAATATTAAAACCTCATATGGAAAACTTACGCGCATCTGCTCTGCGCCTCGTCGCTTATCCTGTTAAGCACGGGGAACGTACACCAAAAAAGCCACGTTTTGATATAATTGCTGGTATTACAGGAAAATGGAAATTTGTTAAAAAAATCTTCGGACGGTTTCTTATAATTTGAAATGTCGTCTTAAAAATGATACTAAATTTGGGATTATTCTTTCAGGGGAAACGGTAGCCATTTTCACCTAAAAGTTTTGACTTTTTCAGCCTGCCTATGGAGATTGCACTGTTTTTCCCCTTTTTTGTCGGGTTTCGCTCAGTCAACCAGTCGGCAAATTTTACACGAGTGACGTATAAAAAATCTTCGGACGGATTCAGAAACCTTGACATCCCACCTTTACGTTGGTATAACGATTGTTTTCTTTCGTGGAGAGGAAACGGTAGCCATTTTCCAACCAATAAAAAGTAGCTTTTCATACTAAACCAAGGTGACTGGGATAGTGTAGCGCTATAGCTACTCACAACGAGTGCGCCCGTACCGTACAAACAATGCACAGTTAAGTTATAGCTTCCGTGCAATCGCTGTAGAGCTAGAGGTCAGTGTGTGTATTTAACGCAGTGCGTATTATACAGAGTGTGTGCGTTGCGCTCAAAATCTCGGACACCGCATCATGTCTATACATGCGCACCCGAATGGGTCGTTGCACTCCAACTAGAGGGAAGTCAGTATAATCATTGGAAGAGGGAATGAGTTCGATTTCGTCTACGGTGTGATGGCAAGCCTCTGCTTATGTAGTCTACCGTAATTTTGCATTTATTTAACTAGGTGAGTTTTATTTCTAATTCTAGTTTGTTAGTGTTAGTAAGTAGTCAACGAGAGCAAGCGCTCGCACCCCCGCTTTGTCGCATTGAACTAGTCCAATCAGTGTACTTTCACGCAAGAGTGCACTTGAGCGCGCTCTCTTTGTGAAAGCGGTTGTTTAGTGCGTATTCTTTTATGCGCGTTTAGGGCTAAAAGTTTTCCATATGCTGAGCTTCCGGGGCCGCGGGGGCTGCCCCCTGGACCACATCTATGGTCTTAAAGGGCTGGATGCTCATCTAACCGTAATTAAAGGCAAAGACCCGTATTGGAAACGCCCCAATTTCAAAAAATGAAATGGAAGCTCTCAGTCTCATTACCAATCATGTGAAAGAATATGAAGAAACCACTTGAAATAGGCCAAGGATGTGTTTGTAATCGATATATTGGCGGCTCTAACACCTTAACTCCCATGTTTATAACTTTTATAAGGGACTGTAAAAATCTAGGTAACCTGAAATCTGTCTCTGAATTCGATGTTTTTTGTGAGTTTTCCTGCAGGATAAAGGTTAGTAGTCGAATCAAATGCATGCAAGTTACCCGCCTGAGCTAGGCTCATATTTTGCGTTCGAGCCGTTGAAGTAATTTTTGTCCGAAGCTTGGCAACGTCCGGATCTTGGCGGTCTTACTCTACACTAAAACTTGAGTTGATTTCACAATGAACAAACAAATTGTTTTTAAATAGAGATTTCCTCGCTTGAATATACCAGTGAATACCGGTGTCATAGGCGATTTGTTCCGTGCAGGCGATCGGTTCCTCCGGAACCGATCGCCTGGATATGTACCCGCCGATTTGTTCCGGATTCGTAGATTCGTTCCGCTAGTCACAGGCGATCGGTTCCGGCCAGGCGATCCGTTCCGAATCTCATCGGAGAGCGTGCGTGCTCACGTATTATTGAATACACGCCATGGTACACCCCTAAAGCAAAATGAACTATTCTGGTCGGCCTTTGCAACCAATCAAACTTCTCCAAATTAGCTACACCAACGATTGCCAATTTGAGAACTTTGTATAGAAATGCAGATTCCCGTTGTTCAAATATGTTAATAATTGCGGCCAATGATTGACCACAAACAGCGCCGTCGCGAAGCGACGGGGACTGGGTGGTCTAGCAAAAAGGGCAGTTGTTGCCATAGGCTTAGTTTGCCTGTAAAAGCAGATGTCGGGGTGTTTTCTAATCAGGCCTTCTAATTTGGTTTGAATGCTGCTTTATATGATATCGTGTTACGTCAACCACCTATTACCGGGCTTCAATCACCACAGAATCTAATTATGCATGTGGGCTGCATGCATGATGTACATGTAGACTCTAGTTTAAATGAAAGAGATGCGGGGTGGGGTGGGGGGGGGGCGGGGTCAACACAAAAATATTTCAAAAAAAATAATATTGGTTTTCATTGCAACAATAAATACAAAAGTATCAAGATAAAGCTAAAATTTATTTTTACCATGTTTATTCGACACAAGTAATAAAAATATACGCGATTATATAAGCAGAAACGTTCGGCCAATGTCGGATACCACACCGGCCGTGCTGTGTTAAATTCAAGACGGCCGGTGTGGTAGGCGATTTGTTCCGGGTTCCGCGGAACAAATCGGCGCGCCGATTTGTTCCTCGGAACGAATCTACTGGATCGACTCGTTCGCAGATACGTTCGAAAGCCGCCGTTCTTATCCGACATTGGCCGAACGTTTCTGCTTATATAATCGCGTATATTTTTATTACTTGTGTCGAATAAACATGGTAAAAATAAATTTTAGCTTTATCTTGATACTTTTGTATTTATTGTTGGAATGAAAACCAATATTATTTTTTTTTAAATATTACTTAATAATAAGGTTTATAACCTCGTACGGAATTACCCGCGCGCGGTACGAAAAATAAATAAATAAATAACCTACTGACTAGTATATGCGCATAGAGTACATGTATATCATATGCATGCACGCACGTGCATACTCGGCACGGGGGGGGGGGGGGGCAGGCGATAGTTTTCTGATATTAGGCCTACATGTACGTGAAAATGTACGTGAAATTAGTGGTTTCCAAACAAGGTGGCGCAACAGATCTGCCACTGTATGTAGCGGAATGGGGGGGGGGGGTATAGACACACTATGCTATGGCTCTGTTTAAACTAACTTTTGTCGGCTAGTACCAAGGGTTGAAAATTCAACAAAATATGTCGGGTTTTTCTTTTATTTCTTTTTTTTTTATTCTGCCGGACACGTCTTTACTTGAGGAATTTTCTTTCTCTTCTTTTCTTCTTCTTTTTTTTTTTATTGGTCCTTCTTAATTATCAGCTCGACCACTCATTTCTTTTTGTGTTGACCCCGGCCCCCCCCCCCCCCCCACCCACCCCGCATCTCTTTCATTTAAACTACATGTACATCATTCATGCAGCCCACATGCATAATTAGATTCTGTGATGAAGCCCGGTAATAGGTGGTTGACGTAACACGATATCATATAAAGCAGCATTCAAACCAAATTAGAAGGCCTGATTAGAAAACACCCCGACATCTGCTTTTACAGGCAAACTAAGCCTATGGCAACAACTGCCCTTTTTGCTAGACCCGACCCAGTCCCCGTCGCTTCGCGACGGCGCTGTCTATAGTTACTGTTTGTGGTCAATCATTGGCCGCAATTATCAACATATTTGAACAACGGGAATCTGCATTTCTATACAAAGTTCTCAAATTGGCAATCGTTGGTGTAGCTAATTTGGAGAAGTTTGATTGGTTGCAAAGGCCGACCAGAATAGTTCATTTTGCTTTAGGGGTGTACCATGGCGTGTATTCAATAATACGTGAGCACGCACGCTCTCCGATGAGATTCGGAACGGATCGGCGGCTAAATATCCCGCCGATTGGTTCCACGGAATGAATCGCCTGGCCGGAACCGATCGCCTGTGACTAGCGGAACGAATCTACGAATCCGGAACAAATCGGCGGGTACATATCCAGGCGATCGGTTCCGGAGGAACCGATCGCCTGCACGGAACAAATCGCCTATGACACCGGCCATTTAAGATGCGAGTGCACCCTGTATGTGCGCACAGTTCAGCTCAATGAACTCTAGCTACCGGTACTAGTAGCTAACGCTAAGACGATTCGGGCCGTTCCGATCGGGCCAGTTTACTGTCACCGACCGGCCTATAGACCGCGCACGTCCGTATACTTGTACAGTAAGTAAGCCTATTGTATAACATTATCAGCAATGGCGATCAGGCAAGCGGAAACATTGGTGCTAGGCGGCGGAATTTCTGGTCTTGCTGCTGCCTTTTACCTCAGAGCCTCCCAAATAAGAGAAAATAGATTAGAAAATCATACTGGTCAAGGGAAGGTAAGTTCCTCAGCCGTTATTAGTGATTCTAGGAAAACTTAATCAAACAATTTTGATTCAATGACATTGTTTAGATCCGCGAAACTTGGCATTGCTTTCCCCCGAAACTCTGGCGTGCTAATCTAGCGTCCGTATACTTGTACAGTAAGTAAGCCTATTGTATAACATTATCAGCAATGGCGATCAGGCAAGCGGAAACATTGGTGCTAGGCGGCGGAATTTCTGGTCTTGCTGCTGCCTTTTACCTCAGAGCCTCCCAAATAAGAGAAAATAGATTAGAAAACCATACTGGTCAAGGGAAGGTAAGTTCCTCAGCCGTTATTAGTGATTCTAGGAAAACTTAATCAAACAATTTTGATTCAATGACATTGTTTAGATCCGCGAAACTTGGCATTGCTTTCCCCCGAAACTCTGGCGTGCTAATCTAGCGGTATCGGTGAGACAAGAGGTAAGGTAAGACTAGCTAGATTCTACAGTTAGTCTTGCCTTGTCGATACGTACCGCTAGATTAGCACGCCACAGTTCCGGCGGAAAACAATGCCAAGTGTTGGGATCTATTAATGTCATATCGTGTCACTGTTAAAGGTATTACAAAGTTTTGGTTTTGGGTCATGAATATTGTGGCGTACGTAACCGGGCTTTGCTGGGGTAGCGTTCTGCCTTGCACAGTAGGGGCGCTGGTCCGAGAATGAGGATCGTCCTCATAAACAAGGATATCCTCATAAACGCAGACAAAATGCGTCCTCAAAAATAAGGGTTGTCTGCATTTTCGAGGATGTTTTTTTTCATCGGCGCTCTGGGGGTTTCATGTTACAGAACCGCCCGCTGGCAATGCCAAAAATGGATTCCCCAGGGGAAAATAACCCTAGAATCTAGTTCACTGTCTACTTTTATTGGTTGTCCGTCTTCCCAAGGATTTATTGCTCATAATGCGAAGGTCTCTGTACAAAGTCAATGTAAAATGCATCAAGAAAATCATTGCAGAATCCTTTTTTTTGCATCGCCAATGCACCGATCAAAAATATCAAACGTCTGCAAAAATGCAGACGGTCCTTACTTTGAGGACCCATGTTTACAAAGACGATCCTCGTTTATAAAGACGATCCTTATTCTCGGACCAGCGCCCCTACTGTTGCAGTCTCTCAAAACCCGGTCCACGCTCTCGACAATCATTCAACTCACGTGCTCTCACAAAAGTATATCGTGTAAGAATAATGTGGACTAGCTCTCATTCACTTACTCCCGCAATCACTGAATATCTGACAGGACTAAAGAAACAACACTTGCACAGTATCTGCAGTTCAAGTAACTTTACTTGTTCCTGATAACGGACCTGTCAAAACGACAGGTCAACACTGACTGACTGACACGACAGCTCAACGGCGACTCCCTGACATCTGACGATGTACACATATATATTTCACAATTAACTATAACGCCCTCGACGTCTTACTAAATTACTGGGCTAGTTATGCTACAATATGGTTCGAATGAACATATTGGAAGCCTATGCGATCCTATAATATTCAGTGATCGTTGTCGCGGTTGAAATCAAGTCTTAAGTTATGAAATTGTAAATAATTAACTCTTTATGTTGTATAGCTCCCTCTCAAGGTCAAGATTATTTAAGCTATGAAACAATGTTTTTTGAACAAAATCGACCGATAAGCTATTCCTGTTTGAAAATTATATATCCCAACTACATATTGGGAAATTTTCATGGTCGTAGCTACCATTGGACAGCCGTAGGCGCTATTTGAAATTCATCAAAATTTACCGGGAGCACCGTTAAATTTTTATATTAAATTTTTCTCGGAAGTAGAAGTTTTTTAGGGGCTAAATTTTATAGTGCTTATAATGCATCCACAGGGGCATCCAAATTTATCAAAATTGTAAAGAATCACTATCCACCCAATTTTCTAAATTTCCCAAAACTTTGTATTACCTTTAAAGATAAAGTTGGGTTGTACAAAAGGAACTCTTACCTGCGATAGCATTGTGAAAAGAAAATGTGTGGAATGGATCAGAACAAGTTGATCATGTAGTCTAAACCTACAATTACAAAAGGCTTTGTGCTTTATAAAGTGTTATTTCATGAGTTTTTGTCTCAGTCATGGCCATGGGGCTGTTGTACGACCAGAAATTCCAAGTGCCATATGCCCGTACACCACACATAGCCTATGTGTGGTGTACGGGCATATGGCACTTGGAATTTCTGGTAGGAGCATCACTATCCTGGCTAGGCTGTGTAGTAAAAACTGCTTTTGATTCCCAACATTTCAAACACCACTGTACAAAACTCAACCGATTTCACTCAAAATCGATGCTTTAGTGACAATTGATGACACCTTAATAGCAGTAAAATACTTTTTTTTAAAACTTACTGATGTTAAGAAGAATAATTTAAACATTCAAATTGTAAGTCTAGTGTCAAACTTTGCGTGTTGAGTAAGAAGAAAACAAATTTGAAGTACTACCCCCCCCCCCCCCCCCCTGTTGAGCAAAAAAAAATCATACGATACGAGTACGCTGGTTAATTTTACACGTCTGCCGGGAGGTTCTTTCATAAGCCAGGAGATTGCAGGAGATCAGGAAAAAGGGCGTGGTGGCGCGCGGTAGTCTCCCGCTACGAGCTGGTGGGACGGCGGGAGAATGAGCCTGGTGGTGTGAGACTCCCTTCCAATGCGGGAGGGTTGACAGCCCTGTTTACATTGTATCAATTACTAAGCTTTGAGCGAAGTGGCCCATAAATTGCCCTCTTTTATTAACCTACTCCCTGTGTGATAAAATATCACACAACTTCTAATGCTCCATTTTTTAAATTACAGATTGTTGTTTTAGAAGGCAGTCCTCGAGTGGGAGGATGGCTGGACTCTTTCCAAACACCAGAGGGAGCTGTTCATGAAAGAGGTACACGCAGCATTCGTCCTGTTGGAGTTGTGGGCAAAAATACTCTGGATTTGGTATGCACATGGTCAAGTTGATGTAGACTACACTAATTCAGATTTCTTGATAGATTCAAGTGTTTAATTTGAAGAAAAAAATGTGTATGTACTTATTATATGTTTGGCTATAATATGCTAAGAAGTTGTTTGTAAGGGCATCAGTTTATCCCAAAGGATTTAACACTCAAGCAAGTAAACCACTTTCACCCTTTGACCCTTCTATTTATCTATGATGCAATCATCCCCATCACCCATAGCAACCTTGCCACACAAATCCAGTACATCTATAAAATTCTATACCCGAAATCCAGGGTAACAATAATCTATTCTAAGTCCCTGTTAATCTTGACATTCGACCCCTAGATATTGGCCATAGTCTTCTGCTGTGATGCAATCATTGATGGAAAAATTCCTAGCCCAGTAGCAACCCTGACATACCAAAACCAGTATATACAATGTATCTACTATCTAGTATCTACACTTGAGATCTAGCTAGAGTAAAACGTTTAAGTTCTTTCAAAATCATTGGTGATCCTGACATACATGTATGACCCTTAGTATCATCCATAGGCCTACATGTACATACCGTAATGCAATCAACCCAGTCACCCGCAGCCACCCTTCCACACAAAAACAGTGTCCATGTACATATATCTACAGCTGAAAGTCTAAAGTTACGATTATTTATTGCAAGTCATTGATAATTAGCATTTGACCCCTAGGTATCAGCCGTAGGTATATAGAGGTCTAGAGTAAAACATAATCTCTTCTAAACATCGTTGATAATCTTGATATTTGACCCTTAGGTTTCGGCCATAGGGCTGGATGATGTAATCATTCCTGTGACCTGCACCATTCCGCCACTTGTAGCCAGTATACATGTACATGTTTGTATCTACACTTGAGGTCTTGATTAAGATATAATTTCTGCTATTGTCATTGCTGGTAATCTTGACCTTGGACCCCTAGGTATCAGCCATAGGCCTGGATGATGCCGTCATACCCGTCACCCGCAGCCACCCTGCCACTCAAAACAGATTCATCTACACTCAAGATGGTCTCCACCGCCTCCCCTCATCCCTCTCCTCCATCCTCAGACGGCAGGCCCCGTTTTCTCAATCACTCCTGTCCAGACTGATCAAGGAACCGTTCGCTGTGAAGTGTAAAGAGGATGATGAGAGCATCCATGATTTCTTCTCGAGAAGACTTGGGAAAGAGGTGATTAGTCAAGTTATTATTATTTTCATTCAAATAAACAGCACATGCTCCCTATGTAGTGGGTTCATAGCTGTCGGATGATAAATTAGATATTGCTATTCTTTTTCAATGAAAGAAATATATATGTTCTATTGCAGACAACTTATACATGTTTAAACCAATGTATTTGTAATAATCTGTGGAATCCTTTGTGTGACAGCAGGACTGTCAATGATACAGTACAAACATGTATACAGTAGATATTAGATAATGTCAAGGGAATCTATTCTCTCTCTCTCAAATGTGCAATTCTGCACATGTACCATATGTACACTGTAGTATGTAGTATGTAGTACGACAGACGAATTTGTCACAACTTAGAATTGTGAGAATCTTATTGTTTATGCATGTCCAATGGAATAAGACATTAATTACATTTTACTTACTGTATATAATGTACTAAAATTTTCTATGACTGTGAGGTTTCATCACTTTTTTCTTCTTTATAATCTTAGGGTCGATTTACCTTACGAACGTTATTTATTGATTCATCTTTATTATGAATTATTTTATTTATATATTTATTCATTCATTCATTTATTCATTTATTCATTGATCCATTCATTCAATAATTCATTCTTTCATTCATTTAGTCATTCATTTGTTAATGTATTCATCTTGATATTCCCAGATAGCTGATTACCTAGAACATGATTTTTTTATATTTTTTGTGTATGTTTATTCATTTACTTATTCATTCATTCATTCATTTATTCATTTATTCATTTGTTAATGTATTCATCTTGATATTCCCAGATAGCTGAATACCTGGCCAACCCATTCTGTCGAGGTATCTTTGCCGGGGATTCCAAGCAGCTGAGCATGAGGGCTTGCTTTCCTGCAATATTTGACGCTGAGAGGAAGTATGGTTCAATTATCATAGGAGGCTTTCGGAGCAAGCCAGGTGAGACTTGTAGCATGTGTAAAAAACATCTCCAGGGATGCCAAAATATTGAATTCAGGCCCTGGCAAGTTATTTTTGGGCCATAGTTTAGGCTTTTTTGTATACAAAATAGCTCATTCTAGGTGATTTTCAGGCCCTATGATCAATTCTAACTGGTATCCCTGCATCTCACAGGCATAGAAGCAGTGGCCTAGGTACTCCCCATGATACGGCACCAAAAAAAAAAGAGTAAACGAATGAGAATAAAAGGGAAAGAAAGAAAGGGAATGTGACCAAAAAAAAAACCCAACAGAAGTGGCGTGGTCTAGTGGATATGCCACCAGACTGTGTAGTATTGCATGTTTCACAGGTCGAGTCCCACTGCATCGCTAGTGTCCTTTGGCAAGACGTTAATCCACATTTGCCACTCTCCACCCAGGTGTAGATTATGGGTACGTGGTAGGAAGAGATTCCCTGAATGCCTTGAGCGCCTCAGGGCAGCCGGGCTAAAGGCAGGTTCTTTGAAGTACTTTATAGGCGACTAGAGTATCCCTTTGAGATGTATACGTGCAAAGTATAAATGTAGCTATTATTACTATTATTACTATTATTACTAGCATCCTTGCCTGTCCGCTTCAGGCAAATAACATGTTTCCTTTTATACCAAACTTGTCTAAAATTTGTGTTTCTTCTCAAATCCATTTCCCTCATAATGTGTATTGTATGATTATTTTAAGCAGTAATGTATAATAAGTACTTTACATACTTGGATTGTGTGCTGATTTCAATATTCTTCTGTGCAGAAAAATTCCCAGATATTGGGACAAGCAGTATCGCCCAGAGGGCCAAAGAGCAGAAGTGGGCCAGCTGGACAATGACCGATGGACTGCAGACGTTTCCTAACAAGCTCTCTGATTGGCTGGTTGAAAACGGGGTTGAAGTTCGAGGGTCAAACCCATGCAGCAGGATTGAATTTGTCCAAGAATCAGATCCAGATGATGGCCAAAAGGTAAATGTGGGCTATCATCCTTTCAGGGCCTCCATATTTTGGACAATTATTTTAATTTAACATTTGAGAGTTGCTTTTTTGACTTCTAGTACTTAAAATTGGTTTCAAAATATCTTTCATGCATATGACCATCATGATGGATTAACTATTATTTTTTTGGGGAAAAAAAAACTGTCTTGACTGTTGACACTCACATTTTAGGCACCTTTTTCTGAAATTGTGAAAAAAACATTCTTTAATTGAAGAAAAATTAGTTTTTTGACACATCTGTCCGGTTGAAGACCAAACTGACCATGAATTGTCTATAATAATTAGAAGGAACACATGCCTCCGAGCCCCCTTCCATCACTGTCCCTTACCTTTATGTTTTTGCTTTCCGTTATTTTTTGTTACAGAGAGTCAGGGTTGTGACAGAGAATCAGGATGTTTGGGAGGCTGATCATGTAGTGTGCTCTACCCCAGCACAAGGTATGGAGACATTAAAGTTGTTCATGCGTGGGTAAATAGAGGGCGGCACACGGACGTACGCACGGGAGCATAATACTCGTTGGCTCAGTGTTATGTAGTGATTGCCAAGTTGCCTACTTCACGAACAAATATAAACTCATGCATGAACATCTTTGAACTTTTCACTTCAATACTATTCTGATTCAAATGCCATGTTACATAGAATTATGTAGGTACTTATGAATTCCTATGAAAACCTGGCAGGAGATTTTTCCTTAAATGCATCGAGTGCTACGGAGCTAAAGCTGGGGTAATAATATTCAAAGCCCTTTGGAAGAGCATAAAGATGTTATATAATAATGTGATATGCACTTTACATGAACATCTAAGTCACTAGTTCACAGTGACCGAATTAATCAGTTTGAAGTTTCATACAAACAGATACGACTACTTTTAAAAATTCATAACTTTCTTATTTTGTCCGATTACGCTCAAACTTCCAGCAGTGTGCTTCTCTAATTTGTATGCTTTTTATTAGATCAGTTTGCTCATAAGGTTGGATTTCTCTTTAAGTTTACATCAGACCTGACAACAAACCTGGTAGTGATGAAAATGTGTACTTCTCTTTAATAATGATTTCTTTGGTCTTGGTCATGTGAAAGACACTGCTGTTTCTAAACCAAGAGATCCGGCTTTCTTCCCTTTTTTTTAACAGTCACCCAGGGACTACTTCCACCTAAGCATCAAACACTATCCAACCTTCTCCATCAAATCACCAGCAGTAACGTAGCAGTGGTTAATCTTGAGTACGACAATCTGCAGCTCCCTGTGACGGGCTTTGGTTATCTGGTACCTTCATCTGTGCAATCCAAGATCCTTGGTGTGGTCTTCGACTCCTGCGCTTTCCCAGAACTTGATAGGAGGAAAAACCCTACCACAAGAATGACTGTAAGTAGTACGAATAGCATCCATGAATAGCATCCATAATTATGTGATATTGGATATGGGTTTGGCTGTGATATCTTCATCGGTGCAATCTAAAGTCCTGGGCATGGCCTTCGACTCCTGCACTATCCCTGAACTTGATAGAGGTAAAGAACCCTACCACAAGAATGACTGTAAGTAACAGGAATAGATGTAAAGCGTACATAAGTATGTGATATTAGATAGGGGTTTGGCTATCTGGTATCTTCATCTGTGCAATCCAAAGTCCTTGGTGTGGTCTTCGACTCCGGTATATCCCAGAACTTGATAGGAGGAAACACCCTCCCACAAGAATGACTAATGCGTCAGTCACACCTGTGCGTATTTAGCTTGCATATTGCTGCGTATTTATGGCAAGCCGTTTTAACATTTATTCCTTTATCTTGATCTCAAGAATTCAATTCAATTGCTTTACAACAGAAATACCGGTATATTTTTTGATATAAAGAAATAATTTCATTGGTCTTGGTCATGTGTTGGACACAATGACCAAATATCTAGGATGTGCCACTGCTGTGCCTAAACCAAGAGATCCGGCTTTCTTCCTTCTTTTTTTAAACAGTCACCCAGAGACTACTTCCACCTGAGCACCAAACACTATCCAACCTTCTCCGCCAAATCACCAGTAGTAACGTAGCATATCAAGAATTCAATTCAATTGCTTTACAACAGAAATATATTTGTTGATATAAAGAAATAGGAATAAATGTTAAAACGGCTTGGCAAAAATAGGCAGCAATACGCAAGCTAAATAGGCATAGGTCTGACTGAGGCATTAGAGGCTGATTTATATTTACAATACATATTATCTGCTGATTGCCAGAAGGGTGTCAGCTCACTGATTTATGAAGATTCAACACTCTTTTGGCTCTATTTGTCAACTTCATCGGTGCAATCCAAAATCTTGGGCATGGTCTTCAACTAGTGCACTTTTTTAAAAACTAGATAGGAGGACAATGCTGACTATAAGTCGCTGGGGTTAAGATATTGTACTGTTTCACATATTCTCTATCTTCTGCAGTTTTTTTAAAGGGGTATTACTAAGCAAATAACTACCGTTCGTGAAGGTGATGGTACAAACTATCACTTCCGAGGTGATCTGGATGTAGCGTATAAATTCAGATCGCCAAGGAAGTGATAGTTTGCCATCGCCTGAAACCAAAAGGTGATTATTTGCTTTATATTCCACATCGGAAACATTTCACTTCTTCCGTCATTTTAGAGCAACAAGTCATCAATTAACAGCTAGCAAATGGTGTACAATATGTACACAGTGCATGCAGTATGGTGGTGTGACCATATAGTTCGTGCGTCGCCAAAGTTTGCGGACTAACACTAAAAGTGCTTAAAGAGGAGAGCAGTACGCAGCGTATACAATTAAAGTTTGTTGCACTGTGTAGATAGGACTTCTATTTGAAACAAACTGTAACAAACTTTTTGATTCTCCCAGCAATGATGGGCGAACTATCTTTCATCACGTGATTTACTTTTGACCAATCGTAGAGCAAGATTCTAAGTATGTGGAATATAATGCACTCTAAAAACCATTTGCAAACACTTCAGAGTTGACAACCATAGGTTAAAGACCAAATTTAGAAGATAGTAGAGCTAGCCATTTGACTTTAAAAAAAAATATCCTTGAAACTTCATTACTGGTAAACTATCTTTCATTTTGAATTTGTGACCTGCAGTGTATGATGGGAGGTGCGTGGTTCCATGACCTCTTTGGTGACCCACACAGTGTTGACCCCAGTGACCTCTTATCATGTGCCTTGACCTCCATCAAAGACCAACTTGGGATCAGCCAGAAGCCGACCTTCACAAAGGTCAACATTCATCATGATTGCATACCGCAGTATAAACTAGGACACACAGGACTTGTGGGTAAGTGTTGAATTTGATGCGGAGGGCAAGTCCAGTGTATTTGGTCATTTTGCGGCCCATACGTCACCAGGGGGGTGTTTCACAAAGATCCTAAGTTGAACTTAACTCTAGGTTTTACTTAACAATTATGGAAAGCCATTAGCATCTTTGAAAATATTTTGTAAAACTTATTTTAAAAGGCATACAATGTTAATTCAAATCATTCATATTTTCTATTATCAAGGAGATTTCATGTTCTTAATGTGGAATTTATTGAAAGTCTAAAATAATAAAATTTTCGCTTTTGAATATATTTTATTTTAAGGCTACAAATGGCTCTCCATAATGTTTAAGTCCAAATTAGAGTTAAGTTCGACTTAGGATCTTTGTGAAACACCCCCTGGTATTGGAGAGTTCTGAACATAAATTGATATCAAATGTGTCTTTTCATTTCGATGAAAACTCTTGTTGGGCTATTAACTTAAAGTGTACCAATCACCTCAAAAAATAATTTGTGTATAGCTAGAATGTATACAATCAACCTAACCATGGAATTATATAGGTAAATTGTGAAGGTGTATGAAGAAAATAAAGGATAACATGAAACCCCTCTATAGGGCCCACATGGAACCAGCTTACATTTAAGCCCTTTAGCCCTATTTTTTGCAATTACTATGATTCAATCATGTTGTTGTTTACAATGAACATCAATGCAAATATGTGTTGTAATACATGTATAACTCCCCCCCCCCCCTATCCCTCTCATCCCTCTCTCTCTCTCTTTCTCTGCAGATGATATTCACCTATACATCAAGGATCACCATCTACCCATGTCCATCGTTGGGTCATCTTATAAGGGGGTCAGCGTCAATGATTGTATCTTCCAAGCTCGCCAGGCAGTCACCTCCCTTTGAAAGTGACAAACAAATTTCAAGAAAACACTGGTATTCGCTTATACTTCAAGGATCACTATCTTCCCCTGACCATCGTTGGGTCATCTTACAAAGGGGTCAGCGTCAATGCTTGGATCTTCCAAGCTCGCCAGGCAGTAAATTCCCTTTGAAAATGACCAACTCTTCCCAGAGAACACTGATATTCACTTTAATATACATCAAGAATCATCATCTTCCCCTGACCATTATTTGTTGTACTCCCCAAACCATCGGTTCATTCTAAAAATTACCAAAGAACAGTGGTACTGTCAAACCTGTCTAAAGCGACCGCCCAAGGGAAGAAAAAAAGAAAGTTGTCTTTGTGGACAGGTGGTCTTTGTAGACAGGTTCCTTTAGTACATGTTTCAATGAGAAACCATTTTAAAGGGAAACGAAAAGTATGGTCTTTGTAGACAACTGGTCACTAAAGCAGGATTGACTGTATATAGACCTTTGACCCTGAGAGGACTGCAAGTTTGCCAAATCATTACAAATTGTTGTTTGTTTGTTTGTTTTTTCAATATTTTTATTTGATAATTAGTGTACGTACATGTATATCACATGAAGTATTTATATCAGAAGTCTTTCATTGGGCACGGTCATTCGCTAGTAACCATATATTTGTTACATTTACATGTAGTACTATTATGCGCTTGTATGTGAATTTTCTGCACTGAAGATCATTCCGTTTAATTTTCCCTGAAAATAGTTTAAAAGAGTCATTATTAAGAAAAGGTGTTTTGTAATTGAATATCAAGTGTTCAAAGCCAGAATGATGCTATTTCTGTATTTGACACACCCTTTTGGCTTCAAAAAATGAGGTAACCTCATTGAGAATCCTTGTCTGAGAAACAAGATGAATTTTTTATCTCTTGTTGACTTGACATGGTTACTGTGCTTGAGAGTTAGTTCTTAAAGATGTAAGCGAGTACTGGTTAGCACTTTCTTTGTTAAAGAAACCACCAGAAAGTAATTTGGGAAAGGATATTTAATTATTTATTGATTCCAAGTATTCGCAGATCTTTTGCACCTGGAGACGGAGAAGTCCCACTTTGTGCATTTTAGGATAATCACTGCCAATAAAAAAAGTAATGGATGTGCTTCATAAACATCTGTCGATAGCCGTCAGGGAAGAATAATTCCACCATAGAATGTTCCGTCTGTGCATAAATGAAGAATGATTACGGAACATTCATGAGCACGTACCTAGTGGGTTTAACAAATATTGGTATAAATTACCTTTATTTGCCCATGCGCAGATTGTATCTATGTATTGGCTGATTGATTTAGTACCAATCATTCAAGCAGAACTAAGAATTGTTTTCACCCTTTTTCTTCTTCTTCACCATTCAATACAACTCAATGGAATTTGTTCACCATTCAATGGAATCCGTTCACCATTCGATTGAATTCATCACCATTCAATGGAATATCCAGTGCATTATGAAAATATACACCAATCAATCTTCAGATTCAATCATTAGGAAAAACACAAGAATAATTTGAATGATGAATGAAAAAGTGAATATCAAGTACATGTATAATGTATAAAGCAGGCCTTCTCAACTGGCGGCGCGCGCGCCACTTGTGGCGCTTGCGGTCAGTCGGAGAGGCGCGCGACTGTTGCAACAACAAAACAAAAAACAGAAAGAAAGCAAATAGACCAATACTCAGCGAAATCAAGAAGTTGCAGTCGAATTTGAGCCCAAAATGCCTGCTTAACAAACAGGAAGAAAGGGGAATTTATCGTTTTCTACCATTTTATACGAATGTAAACCTAGGGTCTGAACAACAATTAGCTTACGATCAATTCGATGGGATACCAATTTTAACATTACGTATCTCTGGAAACATCTTGTTTTTGTTTGTTTAATTTTCACTTTATTTTGCATTTCTCCTGTTTATTGGACACCAAAAACTACATAGAGAGTCAAAATATACCTCCAGTGTAATTGTACCCAGGAATTGTACTAATTTTTTCACATCAAAATGAAATTATGATTGATTATATTGTGGAATGAAATGGTGCTAAAAATGCCCCATTTGGGCCTTTAGAAAGCCCTAAATCCACCAGCTTCAGGGGGCTTCGCACCTGGACCCCAACGATTTTCGGCTCGGTCGCTACGCTCCCTCGCAGCACAGTCAACCATACAAGGGTGGCACTTCAACTACAAATTATTTTCGTTTTGGCACTTCTAATAAACTAGTTGAGAAGGCCTGGTATAAAGGATTGTCACTTCATTAGGTTTTAAAATCATCATACTTTCTAGGCCCCATTTCACAAAACTTGTCATCGGTGACAAATACAGTTTTTGTTAAAAGCTAATGAAATCCTTGCTTCTGATTGGTTATCAGCAGATTTGTCACTGATATTTTGTTTTCATTTGTCATTAAAAAAAGGCTCTGGAAACAGGTCCCTGGTATTAACAGTAACTACACATATAACCAGGCCTTAATGTGCTGGTGGGTCATAGACGGACAACTCAGTACAGTAAGAAAATTGTTTAATGGAAATGTGAGAATTATTCATGAATAATCATGTCATTTATTTGTAAATTTATTTTATGCGAGAGAAATGATTTATATTAATGTTATATATTGTATAAGATATGTATATTTGTTAGCTACAAGCAATGATCTTTCCTCTTTCGTTTACAATAAATTCTGTAAATCTGATTCAGATATAAATGCATTTAAAATTTCTCATGTTCATTTTTTTTATGCTCAGAAATATTAGAGAGTATGAATGTTTAATTGCTCATGAATAGTAAAATCAGATGTTAGTGATGCCATCAGTTTATTCAGCATACATCAAGCTATTGAACATGAACATTTTTAAACTTCATTTTTTTCCATTTTTCGTACTTTTACCAATATAATTTATCATAAGAGTTTCTTTTCGATGCCATTTGAATATAAACATTGTCGATGTGAATGTAATGACCATATCCCTTAAGTTAATAGTCACAACTGAGAAAATCCCAATAATATAATGTGAAAGAAGAGAAGACAAAGAGGTTGAGAAAGAGACAAGTGTCATTAGGTAGGTGGAGAGAGACGGAGAGAGAGACACAGAGAGAAAGGGAGAGGAAGATTAGGTGCATGATAATGAGGTAGTGAGAGACGAAAGTGAGAGGGGTGGATATACAGCGTATACGGAAAAGAGAGAGACGACTAGAGGACCTAGAGAGAGGTAGAGAAAGAGAGGAAGTGCAGGAGACTGAATACAGGGGGTAATAAGGGAGAAAAGAGGGTCATAGGGAGAGAGACGGAGACAACGAGAGAGACTAGAGAGAGAGAGAGAGAGTGCAGAAGAGTGGGATAGTGAAAGAAGAAAGAGACAAGGTGGATATACATTGGTTACCAGTACGCCAGAGAATAACATTCAAAATCTTGCTGATTGTATATAAAGCACATCTTGGTCAAGCTCCCACTTATATCAAAGAACTGTTGAATTTCAAACCTAATAAACACAATCGCAACTTGCGCAGTACCCGAGATATTTTGTTGCTGCAGATTCCATCTATCAAAACAAAAATAACGCCATGTGATCGAGCATTTGCTTGTGCAGCCCAAAAACTCTGGAATAACTTGCCATTTGAAGCCAGTAAATCACCATCTGTAAAATCTTAAAATCGAAACTGAAAACATATTTTTTTTTAAATTAACTGTAAATCTAAGCAAATCAGGAGCTCTTGTAGCGCAGTAGAATATATACTTAATGTTGGATAGTTTCTGCGCTCTATAAATGTACTATTATTATTATATATAGGGGAAAGAGAAAATAATAATTATCAGGTGCGTACGCAGGGGTGGGAGGGGGGGGGGGGTTGAACCCCCATTTTACCTCTTTTGTGTGTGTGTTTTTGAGGAAACCCCCCTTTTGTAACTTGTTTTAATTTAAAAAAATATTTAAAAATGTGAAAATGGATGACCCCAAAAAGCTTACCTTACCCCCCCCCCCCACCCCACCAACGATCGGCCAATTTTTCAAATTTTGAGACACACACACACACACAAATGTCCTCTATAATAATAATAATAATCTTTTAAAGTCCACTCAAAATTATATTAAGTTAAACCAAAAATGGAAAATCTTTTTGCCCAATTGATCGTGAGCCCGACAGACACTGAGGAACTAGCGAGAGAGAGAGAGAGAGAGAGAGAGAGTGAGAGAGAGAGAGAGAGAGGGGGAAGTACTGGAGACTGAGCAAGAGAGTGGGGATAATGAGGGAGAAAGGAGAGTCTTAGGGAGGGAGACAGACACAACGGGAGGGGCATAGTCCCTTTCCCAAAAGTGCCCTTTTTACATAGGGAAAGTGTCCCTTTTATTTTGACACGTGCCCCCTTTTTCTCGACAAGTTCCCAATTTTCCATTCTCGTAAGTGCCCTTTAAATCTCTAGTAAGAGTTCCTTTACAGGGACGAGAAATGCCCCTTTTCACTTTTGATAAGTGCTCCCTTCTCTTCTGATATTTGCTCTATTCAAATCTGAGAGGTGCCACTTTTACTTTGACAAGTGCCCCTTTTTCTTTGTAAGGAGTGACCCTACTTCTTTTAATAACTGCCTTTCCCCTTTCAACAACTACCCCCTTGTAACTCGAATAAGCGCACCTTATATTTGAACGTGTACCCCTTTTCCTTCTAATAAATGCCCCCTTTCATTTCTGGTAAATGCCCCTTTCCGGGTACGAGAAGTTACTCTTTTTCACTTCAGATAAGTCCCCCTTCATCTCCAATAATCGCCCCTATTATAATGTGATCGGTGCCCCCCCCCTTTTTTTTTTTTTTTTATAGCTAATACATATTTTCCTTTATCAAAAGTGCATCTTTTTCATTCTCATAAGTGCACCTTTTCATATATGGTCAGTGTCCCTTTACAGGTGCGATAAGTGCCCCTTTCACTTCTGATAATTATCCTTTGTACTTTGACACGTGGTCCTTTTCTTTTCTAATAAGTATCTCATCCCTTTCGATACGTATCCCCACTTTCCTCTCATCATTAAACACGCCACTAAGAGCAATTTCCCCCTCGCTCGCTACACTCGCAAGCATTTATAGGTGATATAATAGGTCTTTTCAGTCTTCCGTTATATGAGTGTGCTTATATAACCCCATCAGGGTTGGGTTTTTTCCTCTTTATACAATGTAATTTTCGCACTGCGACCTCACAAATCTTAAAATTTGTCCTCCTTCGTTTTGCTCACTCGCAAATAAAATTTAGACCATCACACTCAGCTGCAAAGTATGATGTTTAAGCAATATCTTGTTGGTATATAAAGAGAAACAAATATTGAAATCATCCTTGATAATGTAATAAAAATATAGGGGTATATACCAATGTCAAACAAATTGTATATTTTCGCTTTAAGATTTCCCTTTGTAGGTGCCCTTTTTCCCAGGAAGTGCCCTTCCCCCACACACACATTGAAAGTCACTCGGCCGCCCCTGTAAATAAATGTTAATGGTTTGGTGAAGTTTGTGAAACTGAATCGGACATCATGATTTTTGTTTCACTTCTAACGATTCCTCCATACTCCTTCATTCTATTTGTTCAAAACAAACTATGTCGTACTGTCTGCTTGCGTTCATAACCATCGACCGCATTGTGTAATAAGCTGTCAAAAAGAACTTCTTCGAAAGGCAAGATTCGATTACTGAAGGATGATGGCGATTTGTGCAGAAATTCTTCTTTTTCTCGCCGTTGTCATCTCCAAATCTGGTTAGTTTTATTTCATGTTAACTTTATATAAGTCGTTCTCTAGGTGGAGACAGTGAGAGATGTAACAGTGCAATAAACAAGATGTATATATTTTTGCCTCAAATGAGATGTTTATTTAAAAAAAGATATGGATGAAGTACAATGTTATCACTACAAAACACACATTTTCTCGAATGTACAATATTTGGTTACTTGTCTAAAGTGATCTGAACAGTTCTCTGGTAACTTTTTGTCTGGCATGTTGAGCTCCTGACTAACTTAAATCTGTTATGAATTCAATATTATTTCTTTACTGTGAGAGAAGAGAAGAGAGAAAAGGGAGTAAGGGGAAAGGACCACCTCCCCTCATCAGTAACTTTGTAAATTTGCTTACTAAGGCAATTCCTTTATAGATTATGGTCGAATGATGATTGAGATCCATTCGGATTCTTAAAAGAGGTACTATTGGTTACCAAACATTTTTCTTAATTCTTATATCCATTTTTTTTAAAGGAATCTGTCTTTTTCCAAAAGAGATCGGATAAATGGAATGAGATTTTTAATGTATAAAAGGATAGTGAGTAGTGGTTTTTGGTTCATAAAGTAAATGTTAAATGCACCATTGAAACGCAGTTGCGTTCCTTTTATTTTAAATTATTCCACAGAGCTATTGCCACAAATTACTTTTTTTTTTATATAAGATAAAAGGTCTGCCACTGAATTATGCAGTCTGTGTAAACGATTACCAGATTACCAGATGGTATAATACATTGTAAAGTTGTAAAGCCACTTTGGTCTGTCGTAGAAAAATTATCTATCTTCAAAATTAAAAAAAAAAGAAGTTATT